TGGAATGGGGATGAGGGTGTTCTAAGGATACCCCAGCTATGCACAGTGAAGGCAGAGCCCGACCACGCCAGGTGCTTGACACTGTAAAGGAAGAGTCATCGGGCAGACTCTTTGGTGATGCTCTCTACCCCTTGACCTTGTTCCCTGTGCCAGTCACCATGCTGAGACAGCACCTGCTAGAGCTACTCAATGAGGAGACGAAGTAAGGCTAATTAGGCCTGCAAATAAGTTCTTCCATCACTAGAATGTAGGCTCTGTGAAAGCAGGGCTGCGGGTATGTTTTGTTCACTGTTGCATCAAAGCACAGAGTAGTATCTTGCTGTTCACTGTTTACTGAATGAATGGATGCTTTGAAGTTGGCACTGACCCTGGCTGCTCCTTGGGACACGCGGCTGCAGCCTTTTGCTGCATTCCCCCGAAGCACTCTTCCAAGTCATCTCTGCCTGGGGAGCTCAGACCCCAGCTCCACCTCCGCATCCCTCCATCAGCTCATCGTCTCTCCCCTCACCTTGCGGAGGTCAGAGCCACTTGTTGGGCCGTGCTCACTGTCTGCTCCCCCTCACAGGATTGCTCAGGCTTTAGCTGCTCTCTTACGCTGTGCTTGAAGGAGGAAGCATCCCGGCTCCTCTCCAAGGCTAATGCCTTCCCTTTATTAGAAGAGTTGGCGACTGCACTGGTCTCTTCACCTCATCACCTGCTTTTCTTTCTGGAACTCATCAGCCTTCTCTTGTACGGCAGTTATTCCCTCCGCAACGGGGGTAGAAGTGACCCTTAAAACAGGAATAAAGGTCTGTCTGGGACCTTAAACTGTCACCTTGTTTCTAGTTAAAAAAAAAAAGTCTCAAAAGTATTGCCTTCTACATACTGACTGTTCCTATTTCCTTGCTGTGTATTCACCGTTTAACACCTTGAGTTCAGGGCTGTTCTCACAAATTCCTGAGCTGTTGTAACTCTCTCTCCTGCATTCCTAGGGCTTCTCTACAGTCCTGTTCCTTCATGTGTTAATCCGACAAATATTTAAGCACCTCTTACTGTCAGGCACATTTCAAGATGCTAGAGATACTACAGTGAATAAAACAGACCACAGACCCTGCCCTTGGGGCTTTTATTTTCCAGAGAAAGAAACAGATAGTAAATCCGTGTGTATGTGTGTATTTGATACCAGCAAGTGCAAAGGAGAAAAAAAGGCAGGGAGGGGGTATAGGCAGTTTCAGAGTAGACAAGTTTACTATTTCAGATGGAGTGACTGGGGGAACTTCCAGGGAAGAGATGACTGTTCAGTAAAGGTCTGAAGGAGGTGAGGGGAGTGGGTTACAGAACGTTCTGGGGAAGAACATTCTACGTGGAGGGAAGAGTGAATGCACAGTCCCCGAGGGGTGAGGCCTCCTGTGTGGAAGAACAGTGAGGAGGACAGACCTGTCCTTCTTAGCCTCTCAGTGACATTTGGCCTTTGCTCCTCTTTGCTTTTGGAAATATCCTTCGTCCTTTGCCAGTGGACACCAGCATTCTGGAGGGGTGACTTCTGGTTTTGACCTTCCCCATCTCTTTCACAGCTTTCTTCTCTTCCTTGTGTCTGCCTTTTAATCACCGCCCCCCCGCCCCACCCCAGGCTCTTTTGTTGGTCCCTCTTTCCCCTGCACACACTGTGTATCATTAAGTTGCATTCTTAACTGTGCTCTGACTGCTCCACCAGGGGACCAGAAATTCAACATGTTTGACAACTAAGTAGTTTGTTACCTGACCTCCCCTGACTCCCACAAAGGCCCTAATCTCGCCTCTACTATCTGTCTTATCCATTTTTGGCTTAACTACTTAAATAGTTTCCTAGTTTAGAAAACGTCGTCATCTGTGGCTTTGTTCTCGCTCACCCTCCGCTTCTGGCTGGTCATCTTTTCTACTTCGTTCTCTGTCCTCCGTGGTGGCCCAGTCTTCTTGCCGTAAGAAACATACTTCACACTTCTGTCTTTGTACTTGCTCTACCCTGGGTCTAGAATGCGCTTCTCACCCGTCAGGAGCCAACTCACATGTTTCCTCCTCTGGGCAGTGGACTGTCCCCATCCCCAGCCAGGTAAATGTTGTCCTCCGTGGTGTGTGCCTCCATGGTGTGCATACCTGTGCTAAGCCTCACACAGTGATACGACGACGTGTATCTTGCTGGACTATAAGCTCCTTGAAGCCACAGCTAAGTCTTATTGATCATTGTACCTAATGCTTTCCTGTGTTTCCCTGCATTGTGCACATGGCAAAGAGAATGGATAGATGGACAAGTTTGGACCCAAGGGCACTGCATTACAACATATTGAGTACGAAGGGTGAAAAAATAACTTCCCAAGATTACATGTGCCTTTGTCAGTAGCCTTTATATGTTATGTGCAGAATACCAGCATCTTTGTTGGCAACTGGAATCAGTGTCTTTTGTTGGTGTTTGCTTGAATCCTGAGTGCATTCATTCTGGTACTCACTTGTGGGAACAAAGACCTGTTGGCAGGTGACAGTGGCTCTAGCTTGTGGCAGGGCTGAGCTTCACTGTTCTCTAGGCTGAGGGCAAAGAACAGCTGTTTTAGATCAGACTTTAAAATGTAATTATAAAAATACAGAATTTGTTGTGTTCACTTTGAATAGCAGTGCTCTTTTCTGCTAATTTTTTTCCTCTAAATTTACATTTTTGTTATTGTTGCAAGTATTTTAATTACCAATACAGATTTCTCATAAGATATTGGAGAAAAATTAAGCAATTAAGACATTTAAGGAAACTGAAAAAATGCTCTAGTAAATTTAAGATTTGGGGATTCTTAAATAGCAAAGAAGCGAAAATTGAGGGAAAGGCGAAACAAGTGATTTTTTAAAAATTCATATTTATTGCCCTAAAAAGATTAAATATGAAGGCTTTCGCTGCTTCAGCAAAATGTATCTTCCTGCTTAGAAAGGAATCTACTATATTTTAAAAGGAATTGTCAAGTAAAAATAATTGAGGCAATCAAATAAATAGTATTTTTGACAGAAAACATTTGTCTTGAGATTTTATTGATGTCAAAAATGTAATCTCCATGCTATCAAAGTTTTCCTTTTTTTGTTTTTTAAATGGTTGCTCCAATTTTATAAAACTCCTTTGTGGATCTGCAGCATTTTGAGAATATTTATTTTAGTGAGTAGCCTGTGGCTCGCTTTCCTCCAGCAGCTCCCCAGGATGAGCAGTGGTTCATACTAGTTACAGAAAAGAAATCACTGTTCTATTCATGTTATACAGTCTTGGTTCACGTGGAAGCAGAAAAAGAGACTGTGGGCAGCCGTCACAACAAATTAAATGTAGTAGTTAAAGGACAAAAAATGTTTACCTTTCATATACATGATCACTTTCAAAATGCCCCCCAGCCCGTTTCCTGCTGCCAGAGTGAGAGGCTCTTTATGCTGTTTCCATGAGGAGAGGGCATAATTGGCTCACAGGGCGGGCCCCCAGAAAGAGCAGAAGGCTGGGTGGGTGAGGTGGAGACGTGTGGGGTCGAGTCGCAATTGAAACCAATAAAAGGTGAGACTTTGAGTGACTCCAGAAGGCTGGTGATATTCTAAATGTAGAGACTCACAAGTTATATTAAGGTTCTAACACATAGAAGAATACTATGTGTTTACTCAAAAATATCCTTGACTCTTAGGGTGGGAACAAACTTAAAATATTGTCCGCTTGAAATGAATTTCTTGGGCTAATAGGTTCTAAACATTTTCTCAACCTTTCCTATGCCAGTTTTAGTGGCTCATGGGACAATTCTTTAAACTGTTTTGAATTTGGATTAAAACATGGAACGAGGTGAACAAATGACATTATAGTTACTATGCTCTTGCCTTCTTGAAGGTGAGCTCCTTACAAAACTTGATCCTTTGAACGTACAGTGCCCTAAGGTGGTTTTACCTTGGCGACTTGATATTTTTCTGACTCACATTTGAGCTTCCCTTTTATAAGGACTTGTGAGCATGACATCTGACAGATACTATCAGACCGCATTCCTTTTACAAGTAGGTGAGTGAGCTTGTTCGGAGGCAGGCGGAATTGGCTCACTGGGCTGCAGCTAACGAGGCTTTGGGGAAGAGCATGACGGGGAGTGCCCACGTGCTTCTGACAGCAGCCCAGCCCTCCTCACACTGAGTCCACGTGAATGGCAGCTCGCTTCACTTGTATCTTACTTACGAGCAGGTAGAATGCACCCCAGAAAGTGTTTGGTGTCTGCAGGGGTTCCCAGTGCTGTCCACTGTTTGCGTTAATGCACATACCAGGGCTTTGTGTTTTACCGTCAACAGTTCATAGTGGGCTTTTCCTCTAAATTGATACATCGTGTTTCTGTCTTTCCTCATCTTCTTGAGCAACAATTTTCCACAATTGGCAGCTTCATGGATTAACACAATGCTGAAATGAGGAAGTCTGTCTAGGTGTCTCATGTATCTGAGTGTATCAAAATACTGTCCATTAGCTCTGTAACAATACAGGCTAAATTTAAACAGATATAAGATTTGCTATCATCTCTCTCTTACTTAAGTCTTCATACTTACCTTTCACTCTTCTCATTTTGTCCCCTAACCCCCAGTCATAGTAAACTCCTTAGAAGCTGAGACCTTGCTAAACCCAGAGTTGAGGAGAGAAGGAGATGGGAGGGGAGAGGACAGGGTAAGGGAGATGCACAAGCATCACACAGGCACTGACATCCTCTAGGAGGCATCCCCCGAGTTATTGCCTCTGCTCTCGCCACCACCGAATCTGGACCAGCTGTGACCGTTCTGGGCTCCCACGTGTGCTGCTCTTCTCCCTTTGTGACATTTACTGTGTAGCCTCGTTACAGATGCGCTGACTGTGCCTTTCAGTAGATTGTGAACTATTAGGGAACAGAAGCCATCTCTTATTCACTGATGTGTCCCTGGCATCTAGCGCAGAGTGTGTCATGTAATAGGTTACCAGTCAATCTGTGTTATTTTTTAAATGATGATGCTTATTATTCTCTATTTTGTTTTCAAAGATTCCCCAGAGTGAGGACAAGAGGAACCATGCTGAGAAGCTATCCACTCTTCCAGCACAGGAAGTTTCCAAAAAGCCAAATGACCTTTCCAGCTCTACTTCAGATGCCAAAGTGGGAGAAAGTGATAAACAGCCAAAAGAAAGCTTTTTTCAGTTTCTTGGTAACTTATTCAATATCTCAGGAAAATCATCTCTTGGTGAAGCCAAGCAATCTTCTTTTAGAGATGACCATGACAAAACTGAGAAAGATTTACGGAACCCCAGTGCCCGTCGTGAGGAAGGGGTCCTAGGGAAGAGGGCCACCGTCGGTGGCTCCCTGGGGGCCCAGGCACTTCCAGCAGAAGAGCTAGAGTCCAACTCAGCTGAGCTCTCAGATGCCTTTTCATTGGATACATCACAAGACAGTGAACAGGAAGCCAGTGATTTGCTAAAGTAAGTTTAAAATTTACTTAGCTAGAAAATTGAGCTTTCGGACCTAGTTTTTGAACCTTAGTTCTATTCATAGTAATTAAGGGGACTGGAAAAGTATGCTGTAACGTCCTTGCTACTCAGGGAAAACCTCTGTGATTCTGTGCACCATACATGTATTTTAGGCCCTTGGGAGCTATGTTAGGGGGCGGTATCGGTACCTTTTAGGTACTTTGTCATACTACAAGGTTTATTTCTGATTTGGGACTTCCTTGAATGGGAGTGTTTTCTGTTGTCTAAAGTATTCTGTAGTACAGCAGGCAGTGTGTTCAGTTATCTGCATTTTAGGAACAAAATAGACCTAAGGTTTGTGTTCACGCTCTGTCAGTATCTTTTCTTTGTGGAATCCAATTAAAGGGGTTAAGAAAAGAAATTAAATTTATACACTTTATTCATAAAACTGGCCTTTTGAACCTTTCCCACAGCTCAAAGAAACAAATCTTGCAAATATTTAAGGAGCATTTCATCACTCTTTTCTTCCCTTTCTGTGATTAACCTTTGGGCACTAACTTGTTTTTCTTTTACTCAAATGAACTAGAAGGAGTATTTTCTACCCCAAAAATGTTTATAACGATTTTGAGTCCATTAGATATTTTGTGTGACATAAAAGTATTTATTCATAACTAAGGAGGATCTGTTTTTATTGATTTCAATTTGACCTCTACTTGAGAATTATTTTTATTATTTGAAGAGGTCATCAATAATATTATTGTCAGATATAGATGATATCTTATAGCTCTGTAGTTCTTTGTAGTTCAAAGTGTCCTCGTGTGTGCTTTCAGTTAATTCCTCACAGTAAGTATCATAATAAGCATACGAGTCAGGGTATGCATGGACCCATATAGTTATTAGAACCGAGACCCAGATAGATGTGAGTTTGCCCAGCAAGAGTGATAGGTGAGGCTTGCCCTACCAAATGTTACAATGTACTGACAAAGCTACATTAATTGAAATGATGTCATACTGATATGATATTTGCTAGACACTTAAATGGAACAGAATAGACAGTCTGGAAACAGGCCCTCATCTATTTTGTGATTTGAACTGTTGAATGTGATCTATTGTAGAAAGGAAGACCTGGGGAAATTGGATAACAATGGGGAGAAAAAAATAAAAGCTAGATAGTCATCTCACTTTTATATTAAAATTAAAGTGGAATAAAAATGTTTAAGAAACTACAAAACAAAAAGTAGCTAAGTGTGAATTATTTTATTTTGGTGAGAAAATTTTCTAAGCATAAGCATGGTAGCAGAGAAGAGCATCAGGAAAGAGGTGATCAGTAGATTGGATTGCTTCCAGTTTTCAGGCTCCCTTATGTCAGACACCATAAACAATGGTACATTAAATCGGCAAATGAGAAAGTTATATACAAAACATATCAGAGAATGCTTTAACTGATAAGAATTTTAGACCTTAACTCACCAACAGAATAAAATGGGCAGTGTAAACAAATCATTCCAATGAAAGAAACACAAACTTCAAGTAAGTGGGGAAAAGGTTTATTCTCACTAGCAATCAAAGAAGTGGGAACTAAAATGAAAACTTTTCTCCTATTAAATTGATAACTATAATAATGAGTGATAATACTCTGGGAGTCAGAGTGGACATGGCTGATGCTCAGACTGAGCTGCGAGTGGACGGCATGTTCAGGGCAGTGTGGATCAAGAACCTTAAAAAGCTTGTGGGTTATTTCTAATGATGTGCAAAGATGTTTATTTGTGGAAACATGTAACTGGAGACAAAAGTCCAGCAGTGGGAAATGATTAAACTGGAGTACATCCGTAAGAGAGGATTGTCTAAAAGCTGTTCAAAGTGTGGTCCCTGCAGCATCAGCAGCACGTGAGAATTGTCAGAAATGCAGATCATCTGATTCAGACACAGTGATTCAGAATTATTAGGAGTGGGGTCCAGCAGTCGTAGCACAGCCTCTCAGGTGACTTTTTGGCTCCAAAGTAATTTAAAATGGAGGGATTTTTGAGGTTACATGGGGATTGGGTAGAACTGAAAGTCTGTGCTTTTTCTCCTTTGGATTTGCTTGGTAGGTCATGTTTATTTCTTTGGTCCTGGACAAGAGAAGATGGAAGAGGATGCTCTGCCTCTTATTTCTTGTTAGTAAAGCCGCCCTTATTAATAGGATAATTGCTTTGGGCAATTCACCAGAACCACCTCAGCAAAGAAAAGTAATTCTCAACTTAGAGGAAAGGAAAAGACCATTGGGCTCCCAGTTTTAGATATAGACTTTCTCCATCCCAGTTTCAGAAATCCTACAGAGTTATAGTTTTAGTAATATAAATGACTTACAGTTAATGATTAATAGTAATGTTAATGACTGACAGACTTTGTTAATGATTGTCAGTTCGATTGTCATATTACCACATGAAAGTTGAATACCGTTTTGGTTAACAGTTTATTCTGACAATATGATTAAGCACTGCTTGTAACTGATTTTAGATATTATTTAAATAATACATTTGGAGAAGGTATTTACTAATAATTTTGAGACTCTGCATTTTAAGAATTAAAATTGTTTTGGTTCTGTGATGTGACTTTACTAAAAGCAAGGATATATTTTTTATTAAGATTATGAACATATTTCAGATATAAAATGTTATTTAAAATTAAGAGCCTATACTTTTAAAGTTACTAGAATTCTAGGTTTTAGTTTCACAAAAAAATTTTGTTTTTTTAATATAAGAAAAAGTGAATTAACTGAAGGTTTTGCATTTTCTTTCTTATGTAAAAAATGCCCCTACTTGTTTTTTTCCCTTATAGGTCTTTCGTAATCAGGGTGCATTAAAAAAGGTTAATAGTTTAATGTAGACAATTTAAGAAAATAACCTGTGCTGTGTAATGCTGTCCATTACTATCATCAAATATATTTTTGATCACTATTAATACAGTTTTCAAAATTTAGACAATAATTTGAAGTGTGTTTTTAAAAAACTCTCATCAAAAAGCATTGTAAATGATTTCATTTTCACTTAATTAAAATAATAAACAGCTTCATAATTGTTTTTATGCATAACTGACCATGCATATTTCATTTTTAATATCCATAAAGCCTTTAAACCTGTTCAGTAATATATTTTAGATTATTTTTCATACATTAATTCATACTTCTGGTGTAATTTATATAGGAAGCTACCTCATTGTTGGGTTGAAATTCTTTAAAAATTTCTCTAGTTCTTAAATTTTTAACAGATTCATATCCATCATCAGAAACTCTAATGTCAAAGCCTTTTCATCCATTAAAAAAAAAATTGCTCATTTTGCATCTTTTCTTTACACAGAAAAGCTAAAAGCCTTCCCTACTGTGAGAGAGAAGATATTCTTAACTATGTAATTTGAAAGGGAATAAATATTAATGCTAAAAAAGTAGCTTAATCATACTTACTAAAAGTGAATTAGATACTTATGTCCTAACTCTATTATTTCCAGGCTGCTTTTATAGAATGTTCTTTGAAGAATGACATGTGTCTTTGGTTGACCTTTGTGGTGTCAGGTACCTCACACTTATCCAGGGTAGAGCACGGCCGTATGTAGCACCCGGGGGCCTAAAAAGCCTTCACATGACAGGTAGTTACAATTGGGCTGAAATGCGTAAAACCTTCTCAGATTTTTTAATATGTATGTCTGTTTTCTTAAACATTTGAAATGTCTAGATGTTTTACTTTTTTCTTACTGTTGTGTGGATCACATACCTCTAGTTATGTAGGATAAGCTATAGCTCCCGTGCACGGTTACATAATGCATGAAATTAATACATTCTTTTCTCTGTTCAGTTTGTGAAAATAAACCTTTTAAATTTTCTGTCTGTATTTATAAAGTTATATGTTTTTGACATTTCCATTTTCTTTCTATTTTCTTTACTAGGGAAAAACTTAACAAAGAACAGTTTTATGGTCTTAATACTATTCAATTATGAAGATTCATCTGCAGCCTGAGAAAGAATGTTGCAGAAAATAGACTATATTGGCATGACTAACCTGTTAAGAAGCTGGAGTGTAGCTCATCAGTACCTGAAGGGACTAATTATAATACATGAAGCTAAGCTTGCAACTTTGATGTTCAGTGCTTTAAAGATGGTAATATAGTTATTTAGTATAAAGAATTAATATTTGAGTTACAAGCATATGACTTTTATGCCCAGGATGCTGCAGGAGATTATCTCGTTAGAAATTTAAACTAGTTTATGTAAATCAATTTAATCAGTTTAGTTGAAACTACCCAGAAAGTTCCAAAAGTGGAAAACAATGATCCCCCTGCTGCCCAAAGGACTCCAGAAACTACCAAAAGGCTTTATTACAGTGAGCGGAAATTTAGTGAATTTGTCTCTGTGGTTTATTTTAAAAGAAGTTCTTTCAGATCAAAAGTTGCATTATTGGATTGATGCAAAGTAAAATGCCTTGAGGTCTCATTAAGATGGAGCTGGTAGTAAAAGAACCTAAGTTTACTGTACTTGAGGAGTAAAATTCTGGTCCTTATCCCTCAATGTCCTATTTCTTTGGACATCATGTACATTTTGGTGATCTTTTGGGGAAAAAAATGAAATGACTGCAACCTGTTGAAATTAGGTTTTAAGTGTAAAATGTAAAAGCTTTGAAAGAAAAATCAAATGATAAAACTTCTTGTCATTTGTTCACACTTCTGGATCTTTATATGTTGCTCTGAAAGACTCTTGTATTTTCTGAGTAATTTATACATTTTGATTTGGGATTTCACCAGTAACGTTAATTTACCTCTATGTGTTTTTCTCTTGCATGTTTTCTTAACAGGTTCCCTTAAAGTTTGTTTCATAACAGTCTTTGATTTGGTCTGAAACTCATGCAGCAGCTAATATCACTTTCCCAAGGCAAAGTTTTTCTCTATACATCTCCCTTGGTTGTTTTAAAATGGACAGTAAAAACAAATTAATGTATCTGATACAATTTTTTTTTCACAGTGGCAGTGTGGTAGGATTTTAGGGGCCAGCAATTATATAGATTGCAATAAGTTATTTCAGCTAAAATTCAAGAAATATGTAAGGGACGCAGTTGATGAAGATTTTACATGTCAGAGGTTTACTTTCTGTTTTATCATTTAGACAAATCTAGCATTTTTCATGATATTGCTTTCAAGATGGGGAGAAAAAACATTTTTGATGTTGGAATACTGATAAGTGGATTTCTTATTTATATGGATTCTATAATGTTTTGTTAATTATATGTTTAATCTGAAAAAGTTAGAACATACATCAAGTTTTTATACCATACATTTTTGTAGTTGGGACATGAAAATGTAACGAGTCCAGAATTACAAACACTTTTGTATCTATAAGAATTAAGACAGTCAGAAACAAATTGCTTAGCATTTAGAATCATGGCTTTACTTATTCATTAATTCACACAAAGTTATTAAATATATACCATTTGTCAAATCTTATGTGGGACACTTAAAAATACAAAGATAATGAAGATACAGTGCCTTCCTTCAAGTAGCCACTAAGCTAGTGGGGAAATAAATCAGTGCACAGATCTTTATAGTTTAATAGGGCAAGTTCTGTGCTCAGGGCCCTTTGCACCCACAGATCAGAGGCTACCTGCCCACTTTAGCAGTAAAGGGGTCCTGGAGTACTTTTGCTTTGAAGATAACTTGAGAGCTGAGTCTTGGATGACACTGGAGTTTCTCTCTGGGGCTGGAATTGAGGGGGGAAAAAAGGGTATGCGTGGAGGGTTGTAAGGCAGCAGAGCATGATGTGAGCGCTCGCAGAGGGAGAGTCTGCAAAGGAAGTTGGACGCTGAAAACATCAGGAACTTCATGTTGGGGTTGAGAAAATGTAGGGAACTTGGGCTAGAAATCAAGATTTCTTGGTTTCTGCATTCATTCAGGCAGTTTAGTACTCATTACGCTGATTGACTATTTGAAGAAAATATCCTCTCTAAACAGCATATTTAAAGGCACTTCTGTCATTTACTGACTTAATACATGTATACGGAGTGCTTAATGCGGGCTAGGCATCCTGCCAGGTGTTTCCCTTTACGGCTTTTCTACTGCTGTGCTGGAAGTTGCTGTTCCACATTCACATCTAAGGGAAGGAGGAGAAGCTTGCTATGATGCTCTGATATGGTGGGGAAATCAGTGATGTAGCCATGCACTTGCGCTATCGATATGAGGCACAAAGCCAGCGTGGTTCCTTCCAGTCGGGATCAGAAGTAGAACCCAAGCCTCGGATTTGTCAGCCCACATTCTCTCCATTAACCACCGTGAGAGAGATGAGCATAACCAGGTGAAGGAGCTCAGACGTCGATGCTGGCTTGACATTCACATGCTGCTGATCAAATCTGTGTTGTGTTTAATAAAGATAGGTTAGACTAAAACATTCTAGGATGTCCTTCCCAAATTAGGACATACTAAGAGCAGAAAAATTTGAAAGATACTTCACCACAATTTCTAGGATTGCTGTTAAGTGTTACTAATTATATTTCCTGATACTCTTATTTCTTTTTGCAGACAAACAGATGGTAAGCCAGAGAGGCCTTTGGTAACATACGCAACATATCGAGGCCCGAGACAGATGAGGAAATATTTGAAGCAACAGGCTGTGTTGGAAACCGTGAATCCCTCAGCCAAAGAAAATGAAAGTTCTGACTCTAGTACGAGCACACACATGGGCCCTGGAAGTGAGGTGGAGGCTGGGACGGTGTCATTGTCATCAGCTAGCACAGACGGATCGGTAAAAGGATACGTGCTCGAGGGCCTGTCAGAAGACACTGATTATAACGAAATAAATCTCAGCACAGAAAGCCATTCAGCAAACAACCAAGAACTGCCAAACACTGCTTCCAAGGATGTTTTAAATGAAAACGATCCTGGGGGACCTGAGAGAAGAAGTTCATCCCCTTGTGTGACCAACTCCAGCTCCACTGTTGGAGAATCTGACTCACAGCACCATTTAAGCTGTGCGCCAGTTTTGCAGACTGACAGAAATTTGGTGTGTTCAGTGTGGTTTACAGGAAGTAACAGTAGCAAAATTCCTTGCAGCCCAGACTTGCAGAGGACAGCTACACCAGGAACTATGGTAAAGGAACACAGCTCGGTGATGAGTGATGGGACACTGGTGCAAAGAGAGGAGCACGTGGAGCCTGAGAACCCTGCTGTTTCTGACTGCTTCTCCAGTAAGTCTGATAGGAGCAGCACCACCAAACCGGGAAGTGCAGGCTTGCCAAGTCCAAGTAAATCAATTAGGCGTGAAGACCTGCAGAAGCCAGAGAGTAAGTGTTCCGACAAGCAGACCATAGATAACTCATCAAAGCAGGCTGCCAATCATACCAGCCCCATTGCTCTCCAGAGACATGCTGTGACAGACACGGAACTTGTAAATGAAGGAAGCAGGTTGTCTGCCCAAGACACACAGAAAAATTTGGCTGTTGCAGAAATCAAGCAAGAAACCGAAAGCATCTCAGTTGGTGAAGCCAAAGCTTCAAGTCATGTCAAAGCTCCAAAAGATAGAATTGAGTCCTTACCCAAAGATACTGGCCAGTTGTTTGTAACAGAAACCAGAAAGCTTGATTTTAGGTCGCCGGGCAAAGCGCCTCCCCTTGTTAGAATAAATCAAAAGGACGCTGCCTCTGTAAAACACATCCGTGAATCAGCAGTTTTAGCATATGGAGAAAATAAAAGAGCACTGGAACTGAATTTTGAACTTAATAGAAATCACATTTCAGAATCTCTTCTTGATTCTGAGAGTCCTCAACCAGCCAAAGCATTGCTTGAGGCCACAACATCTCTTAACCTTGACCATAAAAAATTAGATTCCAGTACTTCATCTCCTACCTTTGTTTCCAAAGTTGGCCTGCTAAGCAAGTTGGATAGTCCTGTGTCCCAGAATGAGGGTTCTTCTCTGCTGGTTGAAACTCGGAATGTCAGCATTGCTGGTATTTCCAATCAGCCTAGTAAGTGTCAAGAAAAAAATGTGACAGATCATGTTGAGGCTGTGGACAGGGGGAACCTCCCTGCTTGCCGTCACCCTGAGCATCCATCTGCAATTCTTGAATCCAAAGCTGTTCTTCCTGATAGTGGGGAATGCCAGTTTCCCCTAGATCTTCAAGCCAGGGACACCCACTTAACTGCAGTGGACTTGAGCTTTGAGTCTGAAAGCCTCTCTAAGGACCACAGTTCCACTTCATCTCAAGACCCTAATAAGGCAGAGTTAATGCTGTCAAACACCACAACAAGTAAGAACGCTGTAGAGAAGTCTGACTCTTTCTCCTTGGAGACCAAAACTGATAACATTGTAGAAATTTTATCGAAAGCTGAAGTGGATGGTCAGAGCCGTGTTCCTGTTGCGTCACCTTCTAGAGGAGGGAAAACTCTAGGTCTCTCCGAAACACCTATTTCCCAACCAGGGCCCACAGACACTTCTTGGGATAAAACTTCGTCTCCACTTGAGATGACAGATGTGCCAGCAAAGCCTATTTTGTCAGAACTGACTTCCCTAGAGCTGGGACAGGACAAAAGTTTTCAGTCAGTTGGTCAGAAAGAGACTAAAGAGAAATATTCAGATGCCGGCCTCAAAGAGAATTGCCAAACTGAGGTTTCTCCTTCTGCTTCCGAATGTCAAGGTGTACAGGAAACAGAGACGGAGGCCTTAGGTGATCCTCCTGCTCTGCTCCAGAGTCATATACCTGGGGCTTTACCTCCTGCTCATGCTGAAAAAGTCACTGGGCAAATGGCACAGAGTTGTGAAGCCAACGCATGTGTGATTCCTCGACCTTCAGCTACCTGTGGGACAGAAAAGGTTCCTGGTTTTTCAGACATGGCAGAACTCAGCTTAACTAATACTTCCCCCAGCTTCCTGGAAACTGACAGCACGAAAGTGAACCCGCCTCTTCTGGATCCTGGTATCAGTTTGGAAAAAAGGGCTTTTGCGTCTGAGGATTCAAGTTTTGTTACTGATCCTTCTGTGCTGAGATCAGAAAAGGGAGCCTCATCTCACAGAAGGAGAGAGAACATTCATCTCCTAAGTGGTGGTACTGACAGCGTGTCTTCTTCCTCCAGTAACTCTGAAGAAGTTAGCGTGGGTGCGAGCTCACACAATCCCCCAGGTGACTTTGGTTCTGTAAAAGTTGCCACGGGTGGCACAAACGAAGGTGCCTCCTTAGCTAACCAGCTGTGCCCTAACGGCTCTTGTTTGGAATTTGAAACATCTGTCACAGCAGGGGCAGAAGTCACCCCGCTTCAGGAACATTTTGGGAATCATCCTGGGATGGTGTCTCTTGATTTCCCAACTGCTGCCCAGTGTGACAGTCCCCTGGCAGCAGGGGCTGGAGCCGTTGCTGGGGCTCCAGCGTCAGTTAACAGCTCAAGCCAGCAGTGTTCTGAAGTGTCTGCTGAGCACATAGAAGCAAGGAGGAGAGCACATGACCAACTTGTGGACCTTGAAAATGGTCTGCATAAAAAGGCTGGTACATTGATTGGTGAGATCTTTAATTCTGTCAGGGAGGAACTAAAATCCAAACACACAGTCGGTACCTGCCAGGAGCCTAGAACCATACACGGCATAATGAATCCAGGTGCCTTGGAAGTAAACACCCCTGAGAAAAACCCCTCAGAAGTGACACTAACAGGGATCCAGCTGGCAGAGCATCTGGAAGAGCAGGCCGCTGAAAGCATGTCAGAAGCCCAAGGGGAAGAAAAGACCTGTGATTCGCCTACTGTTGGTGAGAAGAGCCTCCTTGCAGATTCTGCTAGAATGAGTGTATCTTGGTTGATAGAAGATCGAGCTAGGGAATTGGTCAATGAGATTATTTGTTCAGCCCAAGAAACCTTAACAAATGATGCTTTTGAAGATACAGAGGATAGCTGGGATTCTGAACTTCAGGCTAATACTTCAGAAATTCTGAATAGTGGTAGTGTTAAGCCGTGCGATATAGTAAGGGAGTTCTTAGTGTCGGAGCAGGCAGTAAATCAAACCACATGTGAAATTAGTGAAAAAGTTCTAGATAGATTCTTTGCTGTAAGTAACTTAGTTAATAACACAGAGTCAATTAAAGGAAGAGAAATTGTTCTCTACCAGAAGTCCCCATTTTCAGGAAATAGAGCTGGGCTGTCTGATAGTATAAGTTTGCAGGAATCAGATACTGTTTTACTAGCTGAAGACACACCCGGTACAGGGTTAGATGATCAGGCAAAAACACATTCATTTCTCAATGGGGACTCTAAAGAGAAAATGGAAGTGGAGTGTGCTGATAATCACAAAACTGAGACAGAGGATACAAGAACTCTTGCATTGAATTTCAAATGGCCTCCATTTGTGAATGATGACATCCATGTACCCGGGACATCTAAAAGCAGTTTGTCTGATACTTTTGTATGTATATCTGAGAAAAGCTTGCCAGGACACAGTAATAAAAGCACACCCCTTGCAATGTCAGAAGTAGGGAAAGTGCACAAGAAGGATACTGAAGTAAATGTAGGAAAAATTGAGCTTATGCCTTCCATGTTAGAAATGGGGAAAATAAATAAGAAGGATGCTGAATTGAGTGTCTCAAAAACTGAGGCAACAGCTGACATTCTGAAAATGAGAGAAGTAAACCAAATGGATGCTGAGAGGTATATTGAAGAAACGGAGGGATTACCTGCCAGTTTAGAGGTGGAAAAAGCTTATAAAATGAGGGACACTGAAGGGGGTATTGGCAAAACTGACATGATTCCTGTTATGTCAGAACTGAAAAATACCTATCAAGAAGATGCTGAGAGAATTACTGGAAAGACTGAAGTGATTCCTGCTATGTTAGAAATGGAAAATATTTACCAAAAGGATGCTGAAGGAGATATCGCAAAGACTGAGGTGACACCTGTTACATTAGATGTGGAAAACATTTACCAGAAGCATGCTGAAGGGGATGTTGGCAAGACCGGGGTGACATCGGTTATGCCAGAAATGGAAGATACCTACCAGAAAGACGTTGAGGGGACTCCTGAAAAGGCTGAAGTGATACCTGCTACATTAGAAATGGAAGATATTTATCAAAGGGATGCTGAAGGCATGATGGACAAAACTGAGGTGATACCCATTACAATAGAGATGGCAAATACCTACCGAAAAGATGGTGAGGGGATGACTGGGAAGACTGAAAGACCTATGATGGAAATGGAGAACACTTACCAAAGGGGTGCTGGAGGGGTGCTTAGGAAAACTGAAGTGGTACCTCCTCTTGAGCTGGAAGTGAACAAAGCACCCTGGGCAGCAGTACCTGCCTTCTCAGAAATGGAAGACGCATGCAAGAGAGATGCTAAGGAGACCACTGGGGTGATAGTGCCCAGGCCCTCTAAGACAGAGACAGAAGGAACGTCCCCAGGAGATTCTGACGGGACTGTCAGGAAACACAGAGTGTTGTCCTGCGTGGTAAACAGTGAGAAAACGTATGGGACAGGTCTGGAACTGCCCGTCACACGAGTGGAGGCCACACCTCCCACACCTGAGGCTGGGGCAGCGCGCCAAGAGTGTGCTGAAGGGAGTGCGGGGGAGATGGCGAAAGAGACGACGGAGATGAAGGCGGGCTTGATAGCGTGTGACACCAGACTTGCCTCCTATTTCAGGGGACATGAGTCACCTACGCTGAGTAAGGATTATGAAGGCTACCCAGCAGTGCCGCATGTTCAGCCCGAGGGCACCCTGGGAAGGCCGGACAGAAGGACACCTGTTGCTGCAGTGCCTAAGAGAACAAGACACCTAGATTATGGGGACGAAAAAGGGGAAGCCAACTTGGCCTTCGTTTCTCAAGATGAGCAAGAAAATTCTTCCTTTACTATATTATATGAGGAGCCCCTTCGAGATGAGGACAAGTGTGCTACTGCAGAGGTAAGAAGAACACGTTCTCTCTTGGTTCCGGACACATCCACCGACAGCATGACTGTTTTCGCGTGTGAAAGGTCTGAGAGCAGAACTGACCTCGTCCGGCATTTTGAAAAGGAAACCAAAGTAGGTGAGGCGTTCGACGGTGATAGTTCAGACGTGTTCTTAGCAGTGGAGGCCAAACGGTACAAGATCTATCCCTTAGCTCTGTCTCCCATTTATGAGGACGACAGCTCCCAGGAGGACGTTCTCTCCAGCGAGGTCTCACCCGGTCATCACGGCTCCACGAAGTCAAGGGAGAGTGCAGACCAGCCCTCCTCTGTTCTGTCGCTTCTCCAATCAGTGTCAGAGCGTTTAAAGTTGAACTTTGAGGAAGATGACAGGCAGGAGGGAGGGGAAGAGGAGGAGAAGGAGGAGGAAAGGGAGGAAGAAGCATCACATGAAGGAAGTCTGAGAACTCGAAGGCGGGAAACTGTTACCTTCAAGCTGCCAGATTCTTCTGTCACATTTTACCCCGATGGTGACCAGGAAAGTACTGGAACTTCTGAGACTTCGTATGTGATGTCAAATGAACCCACTACCTCTAATCTGCAGTTTGGATTGTGGCCAGAAAAGGCCTCATTTCTACAAAAATCCGACCTTACTTCCAAGCTGCACTCTTCTCTGAAGAGTGCTTACCATCAGTACTTGCAGACTTCCAAAACCCATTGCTCGGAAAAAGGAGCCAGATTTGGTGGAGTTTTCCAGGAACCCGTGTCAAAGTATTTCTGTGCTCAAGACACCTCAGGCCGATTGAGCCTCTTCACAGAGGTGAGTTATTTTGATTATTGATCAGTGAAGTAGTGCTTTGGGTCATGAAGTGAGCTAAAAGCTTATTAAGAAAATAAGTGTTTTGAGGTTGTGTAAAGGATTTAAAAAACACCACCGGTTAACTTTGTCCTTTGATGGAACTGTACCATGATTCAGCTATTTTAGCTGAACTGTTATATTTCAGAAAACAGAATTGCTTCATCAGAATTTAAAAGGCAGAAGAGAGAAGCAAATTATTTTCCAGTTCTTTGCTAATTTTTAGTTTTCAAGCTAAATTAAGTGACAGCATTCTGAATTTCTCGAGGTACTGTATGTGGGAAAATTGTCACTTTCCGCTGAGCGTGTGTCTCACGAAATATTTTAAAATATTTTAAAATATTTTAAATGCTTAAAATATTTTAAGTGTTTGCTTGACAACAACCTCTCCCTGTAATTGCTCATGTCCTGGGTCCTACATAGCAGGGCAGTGAACAGACTAATTCAGAGGAAAGGAGAGGAAAACATCATAGCCGGAAAATGTCTTGAAATTCAGTTACATCTTTCTTTGCCTTAGAAGTATTTAAATGTCTAATATAGAATATTCATCGAACATGGGATATTCCTTTCTGACATTCCCAAGATCATGGAACTTTCTCTAGGATTCCCAGTGGCGGTGTCTTTACTTTGAATAGCCTTTGTAACAGAATAATAATTGAATACCAGCCAATAGTTTGTGAGGCAGAGTCGTTTTAAATGAAAGGTTGGAATTTGGAGAAGTGTTTCTTCAATGGTTCCCTATTGCCTACTAAGCCAAGGGCAAGCTCTTTGCTCTGGATTACAAGGTCGCCAAGTTCTGTTTGTTTAACCTTGTCTCTCTGTGCTCTGGGTACACACCCTATAAGAGATAAGTACTTTTTCTCAAGATGTCGTCTTCCTGGAATTTTTTTCTCTGCTACCCCTACCCCAACCTGCCACGTTTTTCACTTATTGAAAGTCCGTTTTTCAAAGTCCTCTCCATACCAGTTCCCCAGATAAGCCCCTTGGGAACGGCCTTGTGCCATCACCTCCCCTCCACGCTCATGCCATTCCCCTTGATTTCCATAACCTGGCGTTTTGTTCACCCAGAAGAGTCATGGGAATGTGATGGTCTGTTTCCCCTTCCTAAGCTGTAAGCTTCTTGAGGGCAGAGTCAAAACATTATTTTCCTTTATGTCTACCTTTACATTCCTCGGAGTATCTAGAGGTGCACCTTACAGCTAATGGTCACTAAGTAAGTATGCGATAAGTTGGATTTGTGACTGCTAAGAGAGTGAACTGTGTATCTTTCCATTGATGTTTCTTCAGATTTACTTCTTCCACTTTTATTATTTCAGAATGTTGACAAACAAACTCTGAAGTGTAACCCAAGACCTGGCAAGGTAAGCATACATTTCTTAGGTAGAATAAGATAAAATATGAAAAATAAGGTTACTTTTAGGTTTGGGGAGTTTTAAGTAAATACTTTTAACTGACATAGAAAAATAATTATTTTACTCAGAGATTTAGCATCTGAAGTAATATTTGCTTTTTTACATTTAGATTTTGTTCTCTACATTCTAGGATGTTTTAGAACTGTAAATGTGTTCTTAAAATGAGTTATCATGCCTACTTACTGTATGTTGCAGGTGGTTATCTATGATCTCCATGGAAGTAAAGATAAACAAGAGATCTACTGTAATATTCCTGATGCTACATCTTGGTTCTTTCCAAATGGGGTACTGATAAAAGTTGTAAGGGGCTGGTAAGAGAGCTCTTGACATTTTATAGCATTTTCCCTTTAAATTAAGTGTTTTCTTCTTGGTTTTTTGTTTGTTTGTGTTTTGTATTTTTAAATTAAAACCACATTCCTTTCCTTGTAGAATTTTTAAAATATTATTAGTGTTTTATAACTTATTCGTTCTCTGTATTTTCTGTAGCAAAAACTACAGGTTGTTCTTAGTACTTAAAGCCAGCAGTAAGTAGTGAGACGTAATAAATACGATACAATCGATACCATTTTGTAACTGCATTGTTAGCAGGATAGATTTGGCAAGTCGAGCCATAGGCTTCAGTTGAATGAATAGCTTTGGAAATGAGTTCAAAATCTGTGGGATGCTAAGGAATGTGAAGGCCACAAGCTTAAAGTCATTTGTACAGCTGACACGCTCAAGAAGTGAAGGACTCTTTGTATGGTGTAAAAATGATGGAAAAGCTCATTTGTTATTATGGACCACGTCCCATGGATGTGCAGGGGCCAGAATTTCTCTGTCCAGTGTTTCGGTTACCCACTGGGCAGTATGCATGTTGTAAGCAGTGTGGTGCAGTGCTGTCTTCATGTAATAAAATGAGACACGTGGGCTCTGTTATCCAGCAACAGGAAAATTAGGGTGGAAGTGGAATTTGGAATTGTTAAGCTGTTGTTTTTAATATAAATGGATACTTTTGTGTATCCAGCATCTGTAAAGTGTATGTATACATGAATATAGGCACAGCATACATTGTGGTGCTGTGTTCAGGAAGTGTCCCTTCCAAGTTGTGTGCACTTTTATTCTTGCTAATGCTATTTGCCTATACTTACATTAGCATATATCACTGTTTCAAAATAGGGTTATATGGAGTAGTGGGAAATAGCCCAGACTGAAAAAATACAAGTAGAGAAGATGGTCTGTAACTTATCAGTATCATTTGCTTTATGCCTCACTTCTTAGAAAATTAATCATAACTGATCATGCTTTTATATTTGTTCAGCTGGATTTTATATGAGAAACCACATTTCCAGGGTCAGAAATGTGTACTAGAGGAAGGGGAAAAAGTATTAAACCGTGACTGGATCCTTCAGAACAGAAAGCATCCACAAAGAGACTTTGTATTGGGTTCTATCAAGCGTGTCTTAAAGGTAACGGGACAGTTGATCTTCCCCTGCTATTTGTTTTGTTTTGTTTGTTGTGTAATGAAGCTGTGCTTTGGCCCAGTAGTGCTTAGAAATGGTTGCTAATATTTGTGCTAATTTTATTAATCTTCATTATCGTATTAATATTTTTACCAGATATGTATAAAGCACTAAGTGAATGAAAATTTAAAATATTACATGTAATCTGACCTGTAAAATGTTACATGTTGTAATTTTTTTTAAAATAGTAGTAGGAGTGTACCATCCAGACATCTTTAGGAAAAGATGTTTCCAAATATGTCTTTTTCTAGTGAATTTTACTCCTCAGTGTACGTGTGTGCGTGCATGCGTGCATGTGTGTGTGAGAGAGGTGGGTATTAGGGAAATTAGAGAAGGAAGGATGATGAGCGGAAGGGAAAGTGTGTTGCTTTTTTATTTTCTGTTTAGAAAATATTACGGAATACTAATGTGGGGAAAATCTTGCCATATAATAAGACATTTTGTGGGAAGTGCCTTGCTGGTTTAGTGGCAGGGTGAATTAGTGATAAGGACAGCATTCTCCCATGTACTCTTAGGAGCTCCTCCCACAGCAATGTACTACGTGACTTAGTGCAGTTGCTCCTATGACAGTCACAGATATGTATACATATATTTCAAACTCTGGAGATTCCATTTATATGCTAAAAAAAGTAGGAATTGAAGTGGACCTTATCATGATTTGGGTTAATGTCATTAAACCCTTGAGAGTTGCAGATAGCATCCGGAAAAATATTATCATAAGGGGGCATCTGCATGTATTTTATGTGAATTAATACTTTCTGCAAAACTGTAGACAGACCTGTGGCTAACAAATGTGTGTGTCTGCACTTGGACCTAATATTGTGGTAGGCACTGGGAATAGAACTACAGGCGAGGTGCGGTCTCCTACTTGAGATTGCTCAAAGTCTAGAGCAGAGATAGGGGGATGACCTGACCATATGATGTGAGAGGTTCTCTGCAGGGACCTGCAGGTGCACAAAGAAGAGGCACCTCCCCTGGAGGAGGTGGCACCTGATTGGAATCTTGAGAGAGTAAATAGGAGTTAGGCAGCAAGCCACTTGTGTCAGATACGGAAGTGAGCGTTGGTGTCTTGGTGGTAGTGTAAGGAGATTGATGGCTACAGCATAGAGGGCCGTGTGCCTTTTCACTGCAAAATTTAATTGCCAGCAGTTCAGCTGAGCAAGAACATTTGCATGCTCACTTAATTAGCTCTCTCACGAGAAATGCCTTAAAACAAATAATTAGTTTATACGTAGAATCTTCTAAGATTTAAATAACTTGTGGTTTAGTGCCTGCCTTGTGAGTGTCAGGCACCGTGCCAAGGCTGGTGAGGGAAAAAAAGATGAATAAGCTATTGTAAACGGCAACCTCCACACACCCCCACCCAAAATCAAACAATAATAAAATCAAACAAAATACTCAATCTGTTGAGCATGGGTATATAAATGAGTATTTGCACATCCGTCATTTGCTTAGAATATATTATAAGAAAGAATAAGTCATGCATGCATTTTTTTCCTTCTTCCATTGTTTGTTCTTGGACTCATTTTTTAAATTGCGGTGTTAGTGCCCACTCCTCTTGGACAGGCTAGCAACTTTTAGTGAGGGAGGAAAATAAAACTATTCAGCATTGAATGGGAAAAGCATTATATTGTTCTAAATATCTGACAGAGCAAGAGTGAGGCATCAAGCTGCTTCCTTTCTCCAGCCTTGTCAAAATCCTGCCTATTGATAGCTTCATTTTCATGGTGGCCATTCCACATTCACTTAGGCCTACCTATGCTAGCTTTATCTTGTTTCATCATCTTTTAGTTGCTCTAATCTGAGTAGTCAAAACATTAATGTTCTTTAAAGATAATGCTTTCATGATGTCTTCGCTTTGCTGTGAGTAGATACAGCAGGAAGCAAGCGACATAGTCAGTTATCAGAAATTGTAGATTCCGCTCAAGTGTCATCTTAGCTCCCAGTGGAAATAATTCACTGCTACAGTGAATCTTGAGTCAAGAGCTTTGTTTTCTTAAAAAGGTGAATACTGCAAATTACTCTGTTTATTAAGCATTTAATATTTTTTTAAAAAAGGAATGACATTTCCTTCCTTCAGAGGTGACTTAGGTTGTTTCCTCATTAGTGAGCCAAGAAGAGAGATCCATTGTTAGATCAGGGGCTGAAGGTATTTCATACAAGGTGGAGGCAAGCAGTTTTTGTCACTGGGTTTGTAATTCATTCCTACCCAGCTTCTCTCCTTTAGCTTGGTCTCCATTCCTCCTGATTGCTCTAATAGTCTAAGCTTGTAGATTTCGCTGAGCTATATTTACAAAGTATATTGTGACTGGAAAAGCCTGGGAGGAAGACATATAAACCTTTCTTTACTAAGAATAAACTGCTTATTGTTGCTAGGTTACTAGAAGGCGCCCTTCAGTTGCTTGTGTTTACTGCCTCTGTCCATCAAGAATTATACAAATCTTGCAAAAGACATTATTTCTGTGACTAGCCACTGTGGAGAAAATAGAATTATCAGTGAAATTTTTTTCAGTCAACTAGAGAAAATAATTGGTTTTCTAGTAAAGATAGTTGAGAACATAAATGATCTTATTTTTGTTTATTTTCAGTTCTTTAGCAGTTTCCATTATGCTGTTTCCTTCTGTGTTGTGTTAGTCTGGATTGCCTCTTAGCTTTTTCCCTTTTAAAGTACACCACCCAAACATTGTTTGTATAACACAATGCAGAGGAAACTTATTTGTGTGAGACACTTAGTTATGTATTCTGTTTCTGTACCTCAGATCCCTGCGGAAACAGTAACATTGGCCACGTTTTAAATAATGTTACTAGAACTCTATTTTTAATAGCAAACAAAAGAGCCTTAACGATTGACAGGTGACTGTTTTAGACATTGCTGGCTATTTTTTAAATGAAACTTTAGAAGTAAATATACTTCTTAAACTTTAAAGGATATTTGAGGTTATACCTTTTTACCGTATTGCATTTTAGAACTAACTTTCTGAAAATAAGCAGTATCAATTTGTTTGCTTTTACATATTAATAATAATGATTAGTAAAAACTCAGTTTGGAGAAAGATTTAAAAATCAGAAAATTGCAGTTTTTAAAGTACAAAACAGATTATAATAAAAAATATAATTGTTCAACCTAATAAATTTCACCCCTGATTGTTACTGCATTTACCTACATTATTAGAGCGTAACTATTTAAATTTCACAACATCCTAGATGACAATTGTGTTACTGAACCTTGAATTGTATAGTTAAACACTCATGACTACTGAGATAGATTGTGTGTTCAAAGCACATCTGTCATTTCAGAGAAGGGAAAAACAGTTGTGTTTTGATTCTTTAAGAAAAGATGAAGTCTTTTTTGAATTAGGACCTGACTAATAAAGATTTTCTTAGGTAAGAATACAGAAAATTATGTCTTTAGTTGCAATGAGGGAAACATTTACAGCATTCAGAAAGGCTAAAAGGGGAAGTGGAGATAGCACGGATACCAGTATGACTGAAGAGTTCTGGGGAGTTAGTATAGGTCACTAGGTTGGTGCCACACTGTAGAGAGGAAAACAGAAATATAAATTTGAAATGCTTAGGTGCTTGAGTCTTAAGCCAAGGAGTATCACGAGGAAAGCGGTGTTCACACAAGCCCAGCTGTATAAAGAGGGAAGCTAGTACCTGCCTGGTGATGCAATCAAAGTCATGGCCTTGATGAAGGACCTTGACAGTGGAAATTTTAAAGGGCGGTTTGACAGGACATGGCGACAGTGCACGTGTGATGGAGAGTAGGGTCAACTTTCATAATGCCTTTCTTCTTCAGACCAACGTGTGCTGAAGAAAGTAAGTAGAGTACCGCAAGTAGGAAAGGAGATTTCCTTTACCCTCACCTCTAATTCCTGCTTCCTTTGTCGATGTAAATTAGATAACACGCTAGGGGAGGAGTGCCTCTCTGTTGTTTATTTTTTATGTTCCCCATGAGATCAGCTTTTATTTAACTCCCTTCCTCCCCATGGCTTTGTTATGCTTCTGAGAAGGAAGGCTTATAGACTTTTGGCACTCACATAGTTTGGTGATTCTGAACATTGCTTAATGGAGCAAGACTTTTAAAAACAAAGCAGAAAGAATTGGGCTAATACTGTTTCAATCAGTAATCTTTCAATCAGTTTTCATGTTATCCATGTAACTCCTTAGAAAAAAATTATTTTAACAAACCAGTAAGGAGGAAAAGTATTTCCATTATGTTTTTGGGTAGAAATTCAACTGAACAATGAGAATAATTGTAACTGTATGTCCAGGGTGTTAAGAAGACTGGACTGTGTGTCTCTAGATATTTCAAAACCATTTTTTCCCCCCAGGATTGCAGTATTCCAGAGATAGAACTTTGCCCACAGTCTGACCCAGCATGTTGTCCTATCTACATACAGCAAGCGATCCCCAATTTGGAAGAGCTGAATATCCCCAAGTCTGTGTCCTTCACTGTGAAGTCAGGAGTGTACGTATCCGTTTCTCTTTACAACAGTGATTGTTGGCTACCTCAGCTACCTTGTTCCGTATTTCAGTAGTTTAGTTAATTTTACCATATATGCTTCTGAATACCCAAGAAAGACTTTTGCAAGCATTAAAATAGATTCTGTCTGTTTTCAAATCCAGTTAAGCGTTGGATATATGACTCACTGGAGCAAATACAGATTCTCAGAGAGGGTTCTTGATGGGCACATCCATTGCCTTTTCACCACCAAATTGTGGGGCTGAGAAATAAAAACATGTCCCTGGCTGCAAACTCTGGATCCTGAGCTATTTGTAGGGTGTCTCAGTGCTAATAGTTATTGAGGGTCTTCGTGGCACGTTTTTATTACTCCTCTATTCCTACAAGGCTGGTGGAGCTACTTGCATGTCATACACCAAGAAATTGGGTGGCTGGCTTGACGCTACCAGCCAGTGGGCATATATTTGATACTAGGCCTTTCTGATTCCAAAGGTAGCTTCAGAATTGTGGGTCTGAATTCAGTCTTAACTCAGTCCCATATTGACTGGAACCACAAATTCTGAGATGCCTGGCTCAGCAGGGATCCCTCTCGTGTCTCTCTCGCTGTCTTCATCTACTCTGACGATGGTTGGTGCCAAATTTGGGGGTCACTGTTAGAACTCTTGGGAAGACCCAGTTATTGACCCTATCCAGGAGAAATGTCTGTAAGTATCAAGTGTAGCTGGATGCTGGATGGGTCTGTTAGGAGCCTTTTCTCAAATACTGTTCCTGAGGCAGCCCAGGAACTGATACTGATTCTAAGTATGTGGTCAAAGATGTAAAATGCCTGCTCTGATTGCCCCAGTTGAAGGAAGAATGGAATGTAGTGGAATGGTTTTGATTTTTCAGTTATACCCTGATTGAATTAAAGGTGTCACACCTTTTAAATATTGGAAGTCTGAGGAAAGTAATAGCAATGCTTGGAAAACATATACTAGACTTAGAATAGTGTTTGAATGTTAAGTACTTAACATGTTAGCTCATAGTTATATACTGTCTGGCAAAGTGACCTTGAGAGTGTTTTCCTAAATTCTGTGACAGAGGTTTCTTTCTTTCGTTTTCTTTTTCTTTTTCTTTTTCTTTTTCTTTTTCTTTTTTTTTTTTAACTTTTAACTGTTGAAGTACCAGACTAAAGCATTCCGAGTATACTTTAACCAACCATTCATTTCTTATTTAGTTGGCTTGCCTACCCAGATATTAATTTTAAGGGGCAAGCTACAATTTTGGAGGAAGACCAAGGACTCTTTGAGATTTCTGCAGCAGAAATGAAATCACTGCATCCACTTCAAATGGTAAGCAAATTAAAAAAGAAGCATTTTCCCAAGTATCCATGATTCCAATATTAAGATAGCTCTGATAATTGCTCATGCACCTCAGCCTTGAGATATGAATATGTATGCTACCGACTTGGCAAATTATTCATACATTGTCTTTCTGTTTCTTTATATTACAGAGAATGTCTGTGTGAAAATGTTAATGTTTTCTAGAACACAAATGTCTGAATTTACTTTGTGCTGCATTTATCACAGTACATGCAGTTTCCTTTAATAAGATTCTGTGAAAGTTTTGCCTATTTAAAAAAGTTCTGAATTTGTTTTTTGATGCTTATTAGAAAACTGCTTGTTGTAAGTTATACTCTTCCACTGCAGTAATGAATAATAAGTTCAGCATTAATAATAAATGGGCAGAACTGTCACTGGTTGCTTTCTAAAAGATAGTAAATGCCTGCATTAATTACTTATTTTGTTGCAAACATTTTTATATGAAAGACAAGCTGTTCAATTAAATGTCAGCTATATGACAAACCAGTTTTGGTTGTGCTGTACCTTAAAAAAAATAAAAACCATGAAAAACAGAAATTTTTTGAAATATCACCATATGGAATAGCATTAGAAACAAGGAAATTATAGAATTGAGAGCTTTTGTGAGTGGGGTTACTTTTTATGCTCTACACTGTTGTGGTCACAAAGACACTGAGTGTAATATGAAGTGTTGATGCAGCGTGGGTGAGGAAGTGCTCTCTCTAATGTAGAATTCCCAAGCAGCTGTAGAGAAGAAATTTAGTCTTAAGAGGTTTAGAAATCTACTCTGCCAAATAAAATTTTAAATCTACTAGCAATTTCACTCTTCTTTCTGAGACACTCTGTAGTGGGATTAAATCTTTAACTGGTTGCCTGTACTTAAGGACTAAAGCTGTTCCCTTCCTTGTAGTGGTTGTAATCTAGAAAGTATCTTTTTAAGATTTTTCACCCCATCTACATTGATGTGGAGAAGTCTGACTTGATTTTGACAACTGTGGAGTTCTGTACTTAAGTTTTTAAATTAAAAAATTTTTTAAATACCACAACTTTAATTTGATTAGCATGTACTCTTCACTAATCAGATTTTTATGTAACCTACATGCACCACTTTGTTACTTTCAAATATTTTAAAATGTATATACCTAATATTAAAATTTCTTGTCCTCTTAAGGGTGGACTGAAAGTGGAAATGCCTATGAACTTAAAGGTAAGTCTTGGACAGACTTTAGGAGCAGGCTAAAACGTTTGAGTATTACTCTTTAACTATTTTGAACTATTAAAATAAAAGAGGATTACCTGAATGCATACTAATAACACCTTGCTAATGTGTACTGGGGTGGTGGGAAGTGACCGTGCACTGCGGTAGTTGGGGGCCCAGCTTGATGGAGGAGTGGGCTCAACAGACAAAGACGGAGGTCTGTGCCGCCAACCCATCAAACCCAATGAGCACCTTCTGGCAGGGTGGAAAGATGGTAGGTTTGGTGGGGGTGAGGTGGGGTGGGAGGCACTGGGGGGATGCTGGGGTGGTTTGAGGTGATAGCTGGACATTTAAGTGGAGATACCTGGCAGGCGTTTGGGAGTGATGCTCAGAACAGACATCAAGGATGATCAGAAGGAGGTGGAGGCAGCTGCTATCAGGCAGATGTCAGTTTGCACGTGTGAGTATCTGAAGAAACAGCAGAGGCAATGAAAACTGGGGTGAGAGTAGTGCCAGGATTAAGCACATTTTGGGAAAGGAAATGGAATTGCAAAATGTCTGTAAAAAAGAGGAAGAAAACCAGTGTAGTGATCAAAGATGCCAACTGGCCTCGGTTTAACTAGGTCACAGCACTTTCCAGAGGCCTGTAGGGAGACAGGGAGTCATCCATCGTCCTTTCCTCCAAAATAAGGCACAGCTCCTCCAGTCTCCCCATTTCTGGGCTTCCTGCTTTGTGGAATTGACTACCATTCTCTCAATCACATGGGTGGAGTTTCTAAAACCTTAGTATCTGAGTGTATCTAATATACCTTGGCTATATGTTGGAATCATACATATGTGAGTTTTGAAAAAAATACTTATGCCTGGGTTCCACTCAGGAGATACTGCTTTGGTCTGAGTGTGGTCAAAATGTTTCAGAGCTCCCCAGGTGACTCTAACATGCAGCCAAAGTTTCGGACCAGTGACCTAATAGATGCAGAACTAGGCGTGACACTCCCTGAATGACTCTCCTCTCGGTCTCCTTGTCTGCTGAATGAGGACTCCAGCTGCGACAGGCTGAGTCTCCCTTGGACCGCTGCAGTCTGACGGGTTGTAGAAGTGAATGAATGATGACTGTTGTAGACAGTCACGAATTCCAAGTTGTTAGATGTTGGCTTATGACTTACTCACCAAAGAATTATTGCTTCCAACTTATTTGAATGTGTTCAGCTTATGTGGCATATGTTAAACCCAAATAATGCTTCATCACTTCCAGTACAGCACTCTGTGAAAATTTAATTTGTAGAAAACAGAGTGGTACTACATATTTTTTTTCAGTGTCTATTATATTCTCAGTTTTTTTTTAATAAAGAAGCGATAATTTGCTGGTTCAGTGTGTCTAAGCTTGAGGTCTTATTCGCCAGTTGCACACAAATTATGCCGTTAGCCATAAATAGGACCAGGTGACAGAGTGTGGAGAGATTAGTGCTGTTGTCACTTCCCTGTGCTAAGGGCAGCTTGCGCTTGGGAAGGAAAGGACATCAAAATGGGAGAAGGGAAATACTTGTACCAATCCAAATTTGAAGCAAATGAAATGCTAGAACTCTGTTTCCTACTATCTTCCCTCCTTCCCCATTTGAATCAAATAGCCAATAAAAATACCAAAATTTTTCAATAATTTCTAACTTTTAGAAAGTTTTGTATTTAAATTCAGTGATTTGCATGTCTAATTCTTCTCAGTAATTAGTAACGACATACAAGCAGTGTTATAATAAACAGCGTGTTTTCTCAAATCAGTAGATAATTTATCATTATTCCCTGAAAGCTCAAAGAGTTTTTATTTCTTTTTTTAAATTTATTTTTTAATTAAAAAATTGTTTTAGGGGTAGGTACGTAGGTTTACTTACTTACTTTATTATTTTTATTTTTAATGGAAGTACGAGGGATTGAACCCAGCGCCTCAGCATGCTAAGCATTCACTCTACCACTGAGCTATACCCTCCCCACCAAGTTTTTATTTCTTATAGAGGAAATTCAAGAAATAAAAGGCCGGTCTGTATCAAATTCTAAACAGAGATAACCTTAGAAAGATAACTCAAGAATTGTAAGTCATTACCAGTTATAAGACAGTTTATGAAATTGTCCTCGTATTTGGGTAACCAGAACAATGTAATCATACTTGAGTATATTGAAGCATATTATTAAGATATTTTTTTACCTTTATGATGATAAAGACTCACATATTCCTTGTGAACATCAGCTAATGTGCTATATTTTAAGTATATATTAATGAAGAAAATGGACAGTGGTCCTGAATTCATGTTGTAGCCCTTAGTGTCACTTAAATAAATCAGTATGCATCTATTCTAAAATATAAACATGCTAAGTAATTTCCTTTCATATGTTTCAGGTTATTATTTATGAGAAACCTCACTTCTGTGGACAGGCCAAAGAATTTAGTGAGCATATAGATTCTGTCCCTAATTTTTTAAAAAATGATGTGGATTTTCATGGAATTGGATCAATCCGTGTCATCGGTGGAGTGTGAGTGTTATACTTTCAATAAGTGATTCAGTTGTCTATTTTTGAAGAACAGCACAAAAAATGTGCTAAGCAGAGCAAAAACAACCTGCCTTAATCTAAAAATATATATTCCCTTCTGTAATGTGGGAAATAAACAATATTACTTACCGACAGCTTTCTGTGAACTCTTGTTGGCATTAGAGGTTTTGAGATAGATTAAATGAAGAAAACAAGTTTCTAAAACTTAAACACTTAGTGTTTCTAAACACAATATAGAAGATAAGAATTGCAAGATAAAATTATCTTGTTACAGAGTATGCATGTGAATGAGATTCCCCAGTTTTTGTTCTCTGTTCTGTCTTAGTTGACTTTCCGTGCTGAGGATATTGGCAGTGAGTCCTCCCTCATTGAAGAAGTATCCTGGGTTGTGTGTTTCCAAAGTCAGGGATTCCTGACGCTGGTTACCCTCTGGCCTTGCACTGGTTTTAAGGAAGCTCTCTAGGAACCTCTAAGTGCAAACCCAAGTGTAACCATCATTGCTGCTATCCCAGTCTCAATCCGCAGTTACGGGGGCAAGAACCCCAGAAAAGCTATGACTGGACTGGGATGTGCTTTTGTATTTACATCCTGGCAGGTAAAACCATAGAGAAGAAGCTGTCCTCATCGCTTATTTGCCATTGTCAACTTAGTGTTAGAATCCCTTCAGACACCTTCTATTAATCTCTCTGTTGATACGTTGGATTATTTGGAATATTGGTTCATTTTAATTTAAGCATCAATATCTCTTTATTTGCAGTAACATTGCGTAACTTGTTCATGCTAACCTAGCAAAAGATGCTGCTGAAATATTTTATTCACAGAAGTTAAATGACTTGCTTAAGATCACTTAAGGGTCTACATTTAGAGGCTTAGCCTTTGCAAGTCTGACAATAAATCAAGCAGTGGTCACACTAGCCAAAATGGAAATAAAGGAGATGATGTGATGCTTTGGATATATTGGTCATCTCCATAAATGGTCTGACATATTAGTAATCATTTAATTACTTGTTTTTGAAATTTTGAAAATTTATTAGGGGCTTGAAAAACAAATGTTTTGGATAAACAAATTTTTATTATATTGTACGTTGCATTCCTCTCTGATCTGTGGACACACATGCTTCTTGCTAATCCTGCTATAAAATGTTTTCTCCTTTTCTCCCCTTTGAGATTTGAATGGTTTTATCGTTAGCTAGTTTGTGATTTGCATTGTTATTTTCTGTGTATTTGCAATTCTCTTATGAAAATCTTAAGAAAGTATTATGGCTTATAAAACAGCACACATGCTCTCACTTTTTACATGACAATTGCAGGAGAAAAACGTGTGTCCCTATTTAAAGATGAATAGCTGACTTCATTATTTTCTATTTCTATTTTTTTTTTTTTTTACTATTTTACTATTTTTCACTTTTAACTTCTGTGTGTAGTATGAACTCTTCATCTCTGTCCTCTCTGGAGGAATCTGAGGAAGGTGAGGTTGATGTTTCTTAATTTTTCTTAGGTAACATCTATTTTTAAGTATTCCAAATGGATACAGAAATTGAATCTTAATGAAAACTTAATCTATTGAGAAAAGCTGGGCAGAAGATTTTTGAACTGTCAGTATGTAATAATTCACTAATTTGTCCTTTAATGTTAGGTTTCCTATACCTTTTATTATTTTTTCCCATTCAGGTGTATTGAATAACCACATTTATATAAAAGAAAACTTAGAATTTGAAAGGTCTCTTGTGAAATTTATCTTCACGTAATAGTTTAAGATTAAAAAAAGGTTAGTTTCTTTACACATTTCAAATATACTAAGATGTATAAAATTTTTATTCTAACTCATGTGGACCCTCATTCCTTTCCCTGCCATATGCACACCTACACACAGAAATTGAGGAGGTTTTCATGGTTACTGAGCAGCTACTGTTATTTTGTAACCTGTGGAAACAGTTCTTTGGAATATTTTTTTTTTTTGTATCTTCCCAAAACAATAGTCGTCAGCCCTACTCAGCTTCATTTTGTCAAGCTCCATAATTCAGAACCCAGGAGCCCAAAATAGTCATCCTTAGAATCTGCCCTATTGGAGGGGGCCCCACTCTAACCACACAGCACCAGCTGAAGGCACATGTAAGCAGGTCAGCGTGTTATGAACCACCTTTGCCCACATTGCGTTAGCTATTGTGGATTACTCCATATAAAGGTAAGTTTCCTGGAGGAGCTTAATGACTAATGCTGTTTATCAGTGTTCTGTGCTGATAGTTTTAGGTTAGAAGTCAAGAAACCGGTGTCCCTGGAAAGCCTCTCCCACAGTGCTTCCTGTTTCCATTATCACCACTGATAAAGCGGTGGGAGCAGCATTTCCTACCCGTAAATATTTACAGAAGTCTTTGTATAAATTTAGGCCACCAGGGCTGACACCATCCCAGTCGTATTTCCCAATTCCCCGTTGCTAAACCCACCTGTAATGTGTTTCAGATCCAAAGCCTGGTTCCTTTGATTTAAACCCTAAATAAATGTTTAATATAGTAATCATTCTGTGATTCCAGCAGGGCTTAATCAGAGGGAAAAAAACCTGATTATCTTTGAATCTCAGTGTGAGTTTGTAACTTTTCTCATTGGCTGTACCTTCCATTATTTTTTACTTGGCACCCTATTCCCCGACCACGCTGAGATATGACACCAGGTCCTGCCACAAACAATGAGCATTACTCTGTTGCAATTCTACAACAGTTAACCTTTTGTTGGGAAAAGCCTCCAAACTATAAAAGATATTGATCCATGAAGCATACACTATTTGTTTGCCTTTGTAAATGGTAGCAAAATAAATGTGTTGCTTTTTAAAATACAGTGATGTGCAACTAGCTGCTTTATCATGATTTTCTCTCTTGCTTTCTTGACTGCAGTTCTATTAATAACTCAGTTGGTTGTCCTCTGTATTTCTAGTTGGGTTGCCTATGAAAAAGAACATTTTAAAGGCCAGCAGTTCTTGCTTGAAGAAGGAGATTTTGAAGACAGTAATGCCTGTGGGGCGTTAAGTGGTTCCATCTTGTCTTTCCGGTACTTACAAGCTGTGAGTTGGCTTCCTTATTCTTAATTTTCTATCTGTTTTATCTTTCCATGAAAACTGGACATGACCTCTGATAGAACATACGGTTATGAAATGTTTCTAATATCTGAGAACATTAAACTGAACGGCTTATGTGACTTGCCTGCTCTTCTTAACTGCCATGGTTATTATGGAATACTTACGTTTACTTTTCATCCTTTGATTCCATAGTCATTTTTGAGCATCTGCTTTGTTAGGTGTATTATGTCAGGTGCTGGAGACAGGGTGGCCAGAGACTCAGTCCCTGCATTCTCAGAGTAGGCAATCCGGTAGGGAAGGCAGCAGCTATGTAAATGTTTGATACTGTTTTTTGACTATGATTGGATTAAGCATAAAGTGCTCAGGATACCCAGAGAAAGGTCAAGTACTTCCACGGGAAGTAGAGGAAAAGACGGCAGCTGAGCTGAAATTTCAAGTGTAAGAGTTAGCCAGGTGGAGAGATTTTGGGACAGAGTGAAGAGGAAAGGTAGGTGTTTTAGCAAGAGACTAACATTCAAAAAGGCAAGGTTGTGAGCCAGTGGTTCTCAGCTAGGGGTGACTTTTTACCCCCTAGGGGGCATTTGGCAGTGTCTGGAGACGTTTTGGATCGATCTGACTTGGGGCAAGGGGTGCAGCGTGCTACTGGCGTCTAGTGGGGGGAGGCAGGGATGCTGCTCAACACCTGCAATTCCCCCGACAGCCCCCACAACAAGGAATCTTCGGCCTAATGTGTTACTGGTGCTGACGTTGAGAAACCCTCGTGTGAGTGAAACTGGTGAGTTTTGGAAATGCCGTTAAGTCACGGTATTAGGCAGAACTTTAGGAAGATGAGTCCAGAACCAAATAGTGAAGGGCCTTACCTGCCATGTTGAGCTCATACTTTTTTTCTTGGCTTGACCGTAAACCACTGATGAATTTTGGGCCTAGTGAGCACGACTAGATTAGCCGTTTGGGAAGATCTTTTTGGTGAGTGTGTCAAGAAAAGGCATGCAGTGAAAGAGGCAGCCTGGAGGCAAGAGGTCTAGAATGTTACAAGCCTCCAGCTGGAAGCTGATACAGGCACAGAGAAGAGGAGATAGGTGGTAGAGAGTCCTGCAGGATGTCAGGGCTTCATCAGACGTTGTTCATTTTTCTGACCAGCTCTGGAGACTTCTTCAGTGTGTTCAGAGAGGCATGTTTTCTTACAATTCAGGAGTTAGCACTGCAATGTCTTTCCAAAATAATCTTTACCAGTGTAAACTCTAAACTCTCTGGCATGGCCTCCAAAGCCCTCTTTGAAGGAATTGATAATGGGTCTGCATGGACTTTGGATGAGCGCAGAAGTTGTGCGTTTTGGCCCCTTAGGTGTTTCTGTCTGTCAGGGCCACTAGCAGCACTGTTGTTACCCTTCAGCTGGTCGGGCAGGAGGAACCAGAATGGAAGAAGCACAGGGAACAAGGGAGCATTTTGTGTTTGTGTGTGCGCACGCATGAGTGAGTGATCCTTGTTACTAAGAAAGTGAGTTGCAAACCATTTCTACCTAAAATAAATGTAGGACAGTCCACTGATGACTGGGCACTGCGTTTGCTCCAGCAATGGACAGCTAGCTTTTGAGGTGTTTGGTTCACAGTTGTAATGTACAAGGGCTGTGGGTTTTCTCTGCACCGCCACTCCTCACTTGCCCACTAAAAGGCAAGCAAGATAAGATAGAGCCTTCATCTTTTTTTCTTTTAGGTCATTGTGACCACATGCCTTGAGGAAGCTATGGGTCATGATTCAAAGCATCTTCAATTTAAAAAAATTTCCCCTCTTTTTTTTTTTTAAAAAAAAAAGACTTGACTGGAAGTGTTGCTTCTAAAAATGTTCAGCAGTGGATGTGATGGTATCTTCCAAAGATGACTGTGGCTAAGACAAGCAAAAATAGAAACCAAAACCCCAAGGCGCTAGTTGAAATCTTCCAACACTAGAAAATGTGGAAAGAAAAAAAAACTGTATAGCTGAATAATTAGGAGATATTTGATATAGATATGCTATAAATAGTCAAAGATAAAGTACACTGGAAAAATTGGCATGTTAATTACTGTTGCTCACAGAACTGTTGGGTATTTACAAAAATGATTTATAGTTTTTAAGTAAGTAAACATTTCTTTCAAAGAAAATCTGTTTTCTTCAGATTTTTTTAAAAAATTGGAAGATGAGTTTAGCTTGTGAAGATGCTATCGTGATTCTAGTTGTAGTAACCCTAACATTTTCAGGTACTTATTCGTGCCTTTACATGCATACCTCGCACTTAATCTTCACAAAAGCAATGAGATATAGAGACTCTTATGAGTCCCATCTTACAGATGCAGAAACTGAGGATATAAGAGGTTAGGTCCTGTGCCTGAGTGTAGAGCTGTGATTTGTGGGCAAGTCTGTCTCATTCTAGAGCCCAAGGTGTATTACCCATTTTCCTCTGTTGTAGAATGATTAGACTAAAAACAGCACCTCAACAGTGGAAAATTAGAGTCTCATTCGACCAAAGGCTTACTAACATTTCATTTGTAGCTATAAATATATAGTCACTTTGGGGACTAATGCACATATATAATGAATAATTATTAACATAATTTCATGCTGTTTATAATTTTATGTTCACTAAAGTGTTTCAGATGAAATATTTTATACTCTCCAGACATAACACATAATTGGAGAGGAGTTCTCTCTCTTTTAAAACTGCTTTATTGAGGTATGATTGATATGAAATCCTGTATGTAACAGTGTGTACTTAATGTATATACCTGATGCGTTTGGGGATAAGTATACATGTGGGAAACCATCACCACCTCAAGGCCATAGAAATATCCATCTCCTCCCAGAGTTTCCTCCTGCCATCTTTATATTTATTAATTTTTTTGTGATAAGATAAAACATAAGATCTTCCCTTTTTGAAAACTGGGCATGTGGTACAGTATTACTAGACATAGGAGTTGAAGCTCGTGGGGTGTCACAGCCTGCGTAAGTTAGCAGGTAGAGCGCTGTGAGACATCTGTTCCCCAAGTAGACTCTCAGAGGTCTCTAACTTGGGAAAGAATGAGGCGCTGCATTTAAAACCGAAGTTGAAATAATATAAAATGAGCAAGAGGACAGATAGAAAAATTGTGCAACACAATGCAATCTGCTAACGTCCTGGCTCGAGTATGGGGAACACTCTGGATCTACTAAGGTCAGATCTTGGACATGTTCCGTAGGGAAAATGTGATATGTGTCACGGAGTGCTTTGGAGGGGACAACCAGAAATGTGTTTCTAATTCCAAATGAGTCAGGCAGATCCATTGACTTGCAGTTTATTATTTTGTAAAAAGAAAAGGACCAGAAGGAATACAGCAGTATTTAGACTCCAGGGATGAAAGTAGGAATTTTTATTCCTTGGCTTCCTCGATGAAACTTTCTTGGTATGCTTGTTTTTCCTCAGTTTTATAGTATCTGAACTTTTGGATTTGCTTTTGTTATGATTTTCAGACTTGGGGCCTTTTTGCAGATCTCTGAGGCCAGGTGGTATGCAGCAGACATCACTGTGTCTCCTCAATTAATGGATTCAGCAGATCTCCACTGGTGTCTCCTGTTACGTTGCCCACCCCGGGGGTTTGTGTGAAAGAGTGCCAGGGCCCGGTGAGCTGAGGGATTTTATGGAATTTAAAAACAATCAAATTACTGATCCTGCAGACTGATTTTTGGTCCTGAAGCAACGGCTCATTAGTTTTCTCTAACAGTGGGGAGGACAGTACATGAGGCTATTATATTAGACTGTCGAGATTTTTCATTGGATTTAAGTGCTGTAAAAATTTCAAATGGAATGTAGATTGGAAGTTCCTTCATTATTCATTCTTCTGGAGCAACAGAGCTCCACTTAAATCTGTGTGATTTTCAAAGTTATTTAATTGTGCTTATGGTTGGACTGACGGTAACCCAGTAACTGAACAGGGCTTACCCTGGGCGTGACTCTGAGAGTGCCTGTGATGATCACTTCATGAACAAGCCAGTTAGGAGTTCTGGTTTTTGTGTTTTCTTGCGCATTTTATACCATACTTTGTACACGTGACCCTTGGAGAGTTAGCCCCAGGTGATTGGGTTTGGCTTAGAGTTAGAGCTCTGCCCAGCAAGGGTACCATATGGATGGCAACTAGTCAACTACATCAGATACTAAATATATGTTCAGTTTGACTGAAAAACACAGAGTGTCAAAAATCAGGAGACTGGCTCAGAAAGGTACTTAGAAAAAGATGGAAGGCAGAAGCTACAAGACAAGAAAAGCCACAAATAAACAAAAGCAGAAGATAGAAAAAGAGAAAGGCATCACCTAGGAGACTCCTGTGGCCCTTGGCCATGTGTCTGGGAATGGTCGTCAGGGTAGGAAGGACACAAACTCAAGCATGTGAGTGAATTTATTTGTGAACTTATATGCTGCCAGCACTTGTCCTTGGCACTGGGTCCTGTGACAGCGGACCCCACCTTCTCTGCTCAGCTCCTGGCTGTATCATTGCCAAATGGCCTGTGCCTCCAGCCCGTTGCCCAGCTCACCCTCCTGGCTGCTGCCACTCTCCCACAGCCCACACAGTGGGATTTGTGCAGAGCATTGCTCAAGTAAAGTACGTCACATCATGACACAAGTGATTTCTCAATGAAAGGGCTCAGCCACAGCCCATGTGCACCTGTCTGTATTTATCATTTTCTACCCTTGTCCCATTTTACTCCAGCATGACACAGTGACCCATGGTATATGTCAGCTTGTCCCTGCTCCCTCATTCCTACAACCCTAACAGGGAGCAGAGCACAGTGGTAGGGGCCGAGGAAGTAAAAGCAGGCATGGAGCACTGCAGTCGCCAGAGGGGGGCCAGAGAGGTCCATTTGTGAGTGTGGCTCAAGCCCCACCCACTGCAGTTGGCGTCTGACTCTGTGGCTACTGAAACCAGTTCCTGACCAGGACCCAGAAGGAGCCCCTTGGGTTGTCATCACCACATTGTACCCTCACAGCCACCTGGAGCTGGTTATGCACTTTCAGGTTGCAAGAAACGGAGGCATTTTCATGTTCCTCAAGTGACGGAAGTTTATGTTGTCAGTGTAGCCCGGTTTGCTGATGTGGCATCTGGCTGTAAAATTTAATTTGGGAGGCTTGTCCAGGGGACCTTGAGGCAAATCTCTTACAGGCTGTTAAAGCCTTGGTTTAATATATGTGTATTCCAGATTTGTATCGAGAAAATGGCAGATCTGTATCTGTAGCTGTACTGAGACAGACATATAAGGAAGGATGATGAGAGTGATGAACATAAAGCCGCTCAGCCCCCCCCCCTTTTTTTTAAGAACCATGTGAAAGTAATGAACGTGACAGGTGTTCTCTGGTTCCAAAGGTTTAATCTCAGGGAGGAGTTGAAAACACAGATATGGGTTAGGAATAATTTTGTAATAAAAATTTTAGGTGAAAAGCATTTATCTTTTATTCTAAAGTCTCAAATGAAATTTAACCCACCTGTGTCAGCAGTTTTTCAGTCCTTGAAAGTTGACAAGTAAGTAGTGAGTGCAAGAGACCTTTTTTTAAAATGTATTTTCTTTCTCTCCTCATTGATGCTTTGTTTTTATTGGACACTGTTTTGCTTGTTCATGTAAAATGTATGTTTATCCTAGAAATCTTAGAGTATGTTTATATAATAATCCTGAGAAATTTGATAGTGTTTGAGATGTACAGAAGCTGATAACATTTCTTCATAGGTCTAAGTCTTGATTTATAAACAGTGAAGTAGTAGTGGAATGAATGGAATTGTTTCTTTTTTTTAATGTATTCTATATTTTCCAATTAAAAATATACATATTATAATATTTTGAAAAAAAAGTAGAGTAAAATTGTCCAACTTCCCTGGACCCAAAGATAACCACTCGTGGTCTTTTTTTTCCCTTCCAGTCTATTTTTTTATGAAAAGTTGGGGTTTTTTTTGAGAGCTTGTAGTCTTACCAAGTTTATAAGTTTGAGTTTTTGTCCCACTCCTTCATCCTTCCATTTATATCTGACAGTGATTAACAGTTCAGACTAGGCAAATAGATTTAGATGCAGTCTCTGCTACTCAGCTGTGTTGTACCAGATGAATTACTCAATTTTGTTACTGTAAAATGGGAACGATCGCAATAAAATCACATGTGGTGACTCTTTTGGAAATAATGCGTGTAAAACTCCTGACCAGTGTGAAGTACAGGATGGGTTTTTAGCTGTTAGCTTGTTAACAACTCTTCTTAATTGTATTTATTTCATCAAGTGGTAGATGCATAAAGTTGTTATGTTTATAAATCTTTTGGACACTTACACCGTTGACAGCATGTCACTACGATAAATAATGCGTCTTTGCGTATAAGTTGTCCATCATTTAGTTTTAGGAAACTTTTCCTAAGAAAAAAGGAATTTCAGGCTCAAAGAATATAAACAGTTTCAGTCTTCTAAATATATTTCTAAATTATTTTCTAAAATAGCTGTAAAATTTTTACTTCTACCAGCAACGTTCCATGATAAAACTGGGTTTTAGATCTCTCTTAAATTAAAAAGTGAAATTATATCTGTTTTAATTTGAATTTCTATATTTTTACTAGTGAAATTAGACATTTGTTTTTAAGTTAATCTTTTTTTGTGAATTATCTGTGTCTTGCTGATTATCAAGTTGGGTCTTAGAAGTTTTCTGTTATTTTTGTCTTGTGTGTGTTTTCTGACTATATAAATATGTTGTCCTTAATTTTTAATAAACAATTTTTGTCAAGCAAGTTTTTTTTTCTGTCACATTTAAGCTCATAAAATGCTCTCCCATGGTACCCGCCATACATTGTATATTTACTTTTTGTTTCATGTGGCTTTTGCTCTTTGGGCACAAGTGAGACTTCAGTTTCCTTTACAGTTAGTGTTTCATATGATAGTCTGTAAGTCCCAGCAATTTACTAACTGTTTTATAAAAATGTTATGTTTTCCTGATTCAATTTAGACTTTTTTTTTCTTTAAACTATTTAAGAGTAGTGACTATTAAAACTGTTTCCAGTGCCATTTAAAATTCTTGCTGGAGTTATTTGTGTGAAAATTATCCCACAAGTATGTGAAAAGTGCTGACACAGCAGTCCATAAAGCAGAATGCCTGTGTTCTCCTGAACTTTCTTTCCTCTTTTTAGAATTTCATAGAATCTTCTATCACACTGTTTGAATCTGATCTAGAGAGTGGGAAGTTTATTGACATTACGAATCAGGAAGTTTCTGACTTAGAAGAAATTGGCTTTGGCAGTGAAACAAGATCCATTCACGTTAAAAGTGGCGTGTAAGTTGTCTCCTATTCTGAGAACCTGGAGAGATTCTTTGGGTTTTAAAAGTACTGGCTGCTTGATTCTATGTCACCTCTGTTCTTTTTCCTTTTGTCCCTGCTAGATGGGTTGCCTACCAGCAGAAGTTCTTCTGTGGAGAACAGTACATTTTAGAGAAAGGAAAATACAAGTGCTTTTTTGACTGGGGAGGATCAAATAATACAGTCATGTCAATAAGACCTGTCCAGCTGGTGAGTCAAATGCAAACATAGCCAGCGCCAGTGACGTGTGCAGGCGTGCAGCTGAACGTGTGGGCCAGCTTTTCCAAAGGGGAGCTGTTCGATTATGTTGTGTGTACCTATAGAGAAAATGAAATAGCATATGAACGTTATAGACTCACAGAGAGCTAGTAGTTGGTATTAGTGCCTCGATGATTAGGGGCTGTCATTTGATCAGCTCCTTCATTCAGCGGCATTCATTTAGTGCCTCTGATAGGTCAGACAGGACTGATCATGAGACAAAAGATGAGTAACACCGCCCTGATGGGTCTCAGCCTCTAGACATGTGCGTAGTTACTTATATTGTGACTCATGAGAAATAGAGTGTGTGGGCTGTGCTGGGGGAGCAGGGGATGGGGGAACAGAGAGCGTGGGGAGTTGGGGACCATGCTGCGCCTCAGGAAGAGGATGCACTGAGTGATGTCTTAGGGGATAAAAACAATTTTTACCGGTGGGGAAGTGGGGCAGAAAAGGCGGTCCCACAAAAAGGGAATCATGCAAAGTCCTGAAGTTATGAGAGTGTGGCCAGTGAGGATGTTAACCAGCACTGCAGGACAGTAAGGGTGCCCACGGGATAGTGGGGGAAGGGAACGGTGGGAAGATCAGACTCTGTCTTTCTGATGGACCTTGGGGCATGTTTACTTCTAACTATAATAGTACTCAAAGTGAATTAGTAATAAACACTAAAATTATTGTAAGATAATTCAGTATGTTATTTGACAGTCCCAAATCTAACCAGTTCAAGGAATCTAGTAAATTGCTCAGACCATTTATTCTTTTTTACTTTTCAAAGGATGTTTTCAGTACTTTCAAAATGACAACTAAGATTATATGATTGTAATTTTTTAAATGTTTTAATATGTTTCAGGAACCGCTTGGGATAAATGAGCCTCTACATTTGGTATGTTTAAAAATATTCTGAACTTAAAATTGTTAAATCGCTTACTAGAAGCACTGATGCCCTCTCTCTCAAGCCTGTCTCTTTCCCTCAGATGACATTTATGTGTCTGTGTGGCAGGGCGGTTTATGTGGTACTAGGAGCCCGGAAGCACAGAAGGGCCTGCTGTCTTTGGTACTGGTCTCCCTGGCCTGGATTTGTCACAGTCCTTTTGTTTTCTCCTAAGAGAGCTTCAGCTCTGACCACTTTGGGCTCCTCTGGATCCTCTGTCACTCTCTTTCCCGTTGCCCGTCTTCTCTCGAGTGTCCCCCTCTAACTCAGCACAGGATGTTCTGTTGTCTGTGGAGGTGCAGACTTAGCGTGGAGGAACAGCATGCTTGTTGTGTGGATGTATTTCTAGTAACCCAAGTCATGTATTTCTGAAAAGCACTGATAAAACTGCAACCCTGCTTCTTTATTTGTAGTGTGTTAATGGTTTGAAGGATTGGGCAATACCCTGGAGCTTAATGTTTATTTACTATCCATTGAAGGCTAGAAATTGTGCTTATTTAGTGCTTCTAATAACTCTGTGAGGTCAGGATTTATCCCATTTATTAATTAAAAAAATGAGGTTTAGAATTTAAGTGTCATTTTATACAGCTAGAAATAGCAAAATAGGCATTTTTTCAGTATCTAATGCCAAGATTTTATATCAAAGAAAGACATATTGTGTTATGAACAGTGATAGGAACATAGGAGAAAGAGGGGATGAGAGACAGTGCTTCTTCCTTCTGTCTCATTTTAAGTAACAAATTCAGAAAAATGTCTTCAAAAAGCCTAATATGGTGATTAATTTTAAATATTTGACATTTGCTGGTTTTACGTAATGCTGAATCTTTTTCTCTGAGTGTGTATGTTTTTCATGTTCAGGTCAGTGTTTATATATTTTAAACTAGCTTAGTTTAACCATGTTTCCATTCGCAGTGCTTTCAGGTTTTATTATTTTCTGATTAGCTCAGGCCTCTTGGGAACATTTCCTCGCTGAATATAACTCAGTTGCTGTTCTGAAGACATTTCCTGCCAGATCTTTATTTTGAATCTTAGAAAACTCCAGCTGTGGGCTTTTCAAAGCACTTTTTTTTTCCCCACATGCATCAACATAACATGAATTAGATAAAGAAATGAACAGGGGTAATTCCAAACTGCACATTTTCTGAGTTTCAAGTGCAAATAAAAAGTCACATTCTTTTGAGCTCTGCCCCACCTCCACCCCCATCCCTGTCCTTTTTTGCGAACTTCCTTGTTTGGGGCAGATTACTCAGAGCGTTTTCTTTATAGTATTTCCAGTCCAACTTGAAGAGAAAGGAAGCAGCAGCAAACGCCCGGTGACATTGGCCCTGTTTCATTTTTCTGATTTGGGCTCTGCCATTGCCGTGGGAGATGAAGGTCTCTGACAAGCGTGTGATGGCTGGATGTCTGGTAACATGCAGACAGAGCCTCCTTAGTTTACCCAGTACCAGAGCTCTTAGTATTTCACATTAGGCCAAATTTTCTGAACGTTTTGTTTGTTTTCACTTACCCAAATAAGAACAGATGGATCTTGGCTGACAGTCTGGTGCATTCAGTAACCAGAAAGTATTTTCTCCTTCAGGAGTAGTCGTGACAGGTTGACAAGTCAGAGGCTGTGTTCAGATGGGGTGGCTATTCTCCCTGCCTGGGGAATAAGGAGGAAGTCACCTCGCATGTTCACGTCAGAAGAGAGAATTTTCTTTTATGCTGGTGATTTGAAAGGGAACCTCAAGCAACCTGAGAAGGGAAAAGGCCAGAAAATATTTGTGTGTAGAGATAAATATATAGCCTGAGAGTTATGCTAGTAAAAATATTATTGCTGATGTGTAAGCGTATTATGATGATACATGTGTCTTATTTGGGACACAGAATGCCACCTTTTATTGAGAAGATTGTTTTTTTTCCTGTGGCTGAAGATCAGTCACCAAGTCTAATTGCCAACTCAGAATATTTGATACAATGACAAGATCATTATAGAGTTTTTCACAGTTAGCAAATGGCCCTTTCTTTCTGCTTTTACTTTTCCTCAAATAAAACAATGTGGATTATTTCATAGTGTCTTCATCTCCTGCTCTTAGCAAGTCCTGAATATCAGAAATCTCACTAGATTAAATCTTAGAAAAGTGAGTTTTGTTTCCAGAGAGGTTATAGTCGGGCAGCCACTGTCTAGAAGTTGTAACCAGTTCCCCACTTTGACCCAGCAGAGGACTTTACTTTCTTAGAATCTTTTTGAGTCCCCTTGCAGATACAATTAGAAGTTTGGATTTCTTTACCTGCTGAGCCTCTGTTCCATTTCATACATGATTCTAGCTGAGAAAAAGCAACTGAATATTTTCTTGTATTGGATAGTTTGGCCAAATTGAATCTTAGGAAGATCACAGGGTCTTTAACACTTGTGGTTACTGTTATATGTCTGGGGGATAAGAAAACAATAGTTTTAGTCAAGTATCAGTAAGATTCAAGAGCAGCAGGGGAAAACATTTCTTTGCGGTATGATAACCAGATCATTTTTAGACTCAAGAGGCCAGAAATACTCATGCAGTAGTACTTACTTATCTAAGTAAAGAAAGGCTTCTATGGGTAAACAGGGAAGTAAAATCACTGTAGAGTAAGTAATTGATGTGAAAAGTACATAACACTATGGGGCAGTGTGATGTAATACAAGAGTGAAAACAAGACTGTTCTTTGTTGAACAATCAGTATGTTTGTGTGAAGGAAGTCCAAAGGGCTACAGAAAGTCTCATTTAGACAAGGTAGAATGTTTCTCATAGAAATTATTTTAGCACTGGAGTAAATAAAATTACATTAAAAATTATTTTGATATTGTGGAATAAATTAAGTGAACACAACTTCTTTTATTGGGTCAGTAATTCAGCTCTTGAGTCTCTGGTTTGTCAGAGAAGATTGCATGTGTTTGTGTATATTATAAGTGAAAAGTACATAGCAGAAAAAGAAAAGAAAAAGGTTTTCTGTGAAATTATCATCATAAACGGATGATGATTTCTGCTTCAAAGCGTAGTTCTAAAGAACACAGAAGATATATTTGTGAAAAGGCACCTTGCAAACCAGTGATACACTGCCTTTTTTTGTTTTTCCTTGCTTCCATACAGTTCCATGTAGGAGGCGGGGAGTGCTTGAGCCATGCTCCCGTGGCTCGGGGGGATGGGTGTGGTTCAAAGTAAACTAATTTCTTGTTCATCTGACTATTCATCTGCGTTCTAAGCAACCTATCTGAGTTGTTTTGTACATTTATTCTGCACTAATCTGGAAGGGAAACCAAAATGGCGAGTTTATCTTGCTAGCTTTTCACGGGACTTATTTTCACCAAGGCACTGTCACTTAATTTCACCAAGTATGGAAACCACAGATGAATGATTATAATTAGAAAGCACAGAGTTGGTTTCTGTAGGGATCCCTCCTCAGAACATTGTTATGAGAATTTCTATTCTCAGGCATTTGTAAGGCTGTCAAAATGAGGTGTTACTTTTCTGGGGCTGGACAAGTCTTGGGTGAACCATATACCATATCTCATTTTGGGGGTAAAAATAAACTTAGATCTGTATTAAGCTCATTTTTTTTAGTATGGGTAAAGAACGTTTTAACTCATTGAATCAGAACAAGACTTGATGGCAGAGTGAGTACCTATGTGTGAATTTTAATTAATGCTTCTGAGTATGAAGACTGAGACTAAAAAGTAGAGGTGGCTGGTACAGATACCATCAGAAATATGCTGAACTTGCACTGTCAGCTGTCCAGGATTTGACATTTCATGGCTTCACGGTGAAATATTGAAGTATAAATCTTAAGCTCAGCAATATGAATATAATTAATTCAACAAACTGGGAAAACACACAGTGAACAAGGCAGCTGTGATTTCTGTTCTCCAGTGGCTTTTCTGATTCTTGTAGTGAATAAAGATAATATTTGGCTGTAGGAGCAATTATGCCACACTTTTGGAAGTTAAATGTGATTCACTTTTTAGCCTCCCATGTTTTACAAGCCTTTAAGTTAAAAAACATACTCTGAAAAGCCACTAACCAAAATATATGCTGTTATGAAGGAATTTAGGGCCGTTTGCCTGGACACAAAGAATTGTTCAGGGAGTTGTTCCAGAAGTCTTTATTGTTTTGGACTTGCTTTTTCTCGCTTTCTCCTGCATCCACCAAAGGACCACGATAGGAACTTGATGGATCACACCTCCATAAGGCAAGGAGCCCCTTGGTGTTTTAATGCTCCAAGTGCAGCCTCGTTTCACAGTAAGAAATCATACTGTGCAAGCCCCGGTGGTCGGGGGAAGTGGTTCTCTCAGCTTCATGGTTTTGGGTTCTCTTTGATATCAGGCCAAGAAGCAAAGTCAGAGCAGAGTGAGATAGCCAAGAAATAATTCCTCAGAACTCAGAGACCGTCCATCTCTGAGAGGACCCTTGGGAAGATGCAGGAAGTGGACATCAGCTGCTGAAAGAAGCCTTGTTCTCGATGACAGCGCTGGCGGGAGAGAGGGCGGCGCTGCAGATGGTCATTGTGATGCATTCTTAGCTACAGTGCAGGCCTGTCGGAGTCGGGTGGATCTGTGGGCCATGTTATTTCAAGGCTCCAGTGTATTATGAAACATTTATAGGGCTCATTAATTTTTTCTTGCCTATTAGAGATCCAGGGCCACGAGCGCTGCAGATGATTCTATCTCTGGTCCAAAGGGAACTGTTGAGATTTCATGAATTTTCCTTGACAAAAATAACTGAAGTAGAAAGGTAGTTATATAAAGCTGTAAGCTGTGCGTTCAAGGTATTCCTATCAGTAAACTGAAGCCTGTGGGCTGGAATGCATGACACAGACATCTTCCTTTCTTCCCCGTAAATCTTCCACTAATCTCATCATTATTATCTTCTCTGCCATCTGCTCCTGGGGTCTCGCAGGCCATCTCAGGCTCATTTATGGGCATCGCCTGTCCTTTCTCCGTCTCCCTTTGATGAACTGTGGATTAGGAAGACTTGGGGAGGGAAGAGGAGTGGTCACCAGACCCCACACCAGTCCCAGCAGCCTTCATGTTTAGCACTAAGTTGCTTCTTACTTTAGACATGCAGTCTCACCGCAGGGGCTAGTAATTGTCTGATACAATGGGCGGGGACCGCATTTTAGTGGAGGAGGGATTCTGGCTTACTCCTGTGGGTAGAATTGTTTCCTGGGCCTCTGCGCCCAGACCCTGATGCAAGGGGTGGGTGGAAATGGTAAATAAATCTTGACATTTCTGGAAAACGCTTAAGGAAAAAAAGAGTGAGTTTAAGGAGAATCATCCTGAACATGGATTCATTGTTAATAAGTAAAACACGAGTGTAGTGTTTTGCTGAATTTTTGTAAGTACATGAAACGAAAGGTTTTCATTTGCTTTTGTGATGATGTCAAACTGTTCTCTGTGTAATTGCTGTGTTGTTGCTCTTGTAGCTCAAAGCATTCAGTAAACCAGGGTTCCAAGGTGAATGTGTAGATTTCACAAAAGAGATTTTGGATTTGACGTCATCATTCTGGCCATGTTCTTTTAAAGTTCTTCGGGGTTGGTAAGTGTGCTTTATTGAATGATTTCCACTGTTGTTTAATAACTAAATTTCTGTTAAATTTATGGAGATTTGACTTTTATTTTTTGCATACACAGTGAAATCAAAAAAATTTTAACCAGTAGTCAGAAGCTAATTAGCCTATATTACCTTTGCCCATCTTGTGTCATGAGCCATTGTGCACTGCAGAGAAACAGGATGCTGACTGGCCAACTTTGGGAGCGTTTTGGTGATTTTTTTGTCTCACTGTTATCTTAGATTATTTCCTAACTATTTTGAATGTTTCATTGTGTGTTTACTGTATAGTGTAATAGAATGCTATAAAATTAGCATTTTTGTCCAGATAATACATATTACTCCTAAATTTAAAAAAAGTTTTTGTTTGTTTAAATTATTTGTTGCCCCCATTTCACAGATTAGGATCCCTGCTTCAGAGTTAAGGTTTCCCAAGATCCCACACCAAGTGTCAGACCCAGGATTATGTTGGCTGTTTAGTGTGTGTTTGTTTTAAATTCTGTGTTCTTCCAACTGCAGCAGCATACTGGACCTTTCTCACGTGGGTATATGAGACTGTGTGTTTTTCAATTTATGTTCTAATATATTCTATCATTTTTATTGTGGTACAATATGTATAACATGAAATTTACCTTTTTAGCCATTTTTAAGTGTATGTATCTTCAGTGGCATCTCTGTATAGCAGATATCCACCTAATAACTCATCAGAGTCTCTTTCCCAAGATATCTTGGGTTCATTGATTCTCCTCCTTTCTCTCTTGAACCAGTAGAGACAAGGATCCTACTTTCCACTTGAGGAATTTCAGTCTCCTAATTAGTCCTACCCTGATGTCCTCTTATTTCCAGTGTTTGTCACAAACCAATCGGAGCCCAGTTATCTGTCCCAAAATCCAGTTTAATGTTTTCTACTACTCTTCTTTAAATCCCAAGGTCATGCTCTCATTACCAATCAGATCAAGTTCAAACTCTTTTTTCCTTTCCAGGATTTGTCATCGCCGAATCTCATTTTCCATGTCCATGCTCCAGTCTGTCTTTGTACTGTACCCCATCCTCTCCTCACTGGGCATTTACTCAGCTCTGTGTTTCATGCCTTATCCTCTTTACTGGGGGTCAGCAGACTGACTCTATAAAGGGCCAGGTAGTAAGTATTTTCAGCCTTGGGGCCACACAGGCTCCGTGCCAGCTACTCAGCACCGTCACTTCAGCACCAGAGCGGCTGTGGGCGATACACACATGAATGAGCATGGCTGTGTTCCAGCGAAGCTCCGTTTGTGGATGTTGAAATTTGAATTGGATTTAATAGTCACATATCACAGTTTTCTTTTAATTTTTTAAATCATTTAAAAATGCAAAACCAGTCAGCTTGTGAGCTGTTCAAAAACTGGCAATGGGGAGGATTTGGCCCACAAGCTGTGGTTTGCCGTCCCCCCACTCTGTCTCAAAGTTTGTGGGTTTCAGGTGAATCTCGCCAGCACATGTTACTTGTTTGGCCTACACACTATGTTTAAAGTTTTTGTATCAATACTTAAGTTTAGGATATTTTTCAGAAGAACCTGATTTTTACCTTCTCTTTAAAAATTAGAAGGTTTGAAAACTGGGGAAACATTCATCTTTGGTATTGAGTAGAGAGGCATGTGTGCTCCCCAGCGTACAGTAACACTGCTCATTTTTATCTGCCAGACCTCCCACAGGTATGTAAGTTTGTGAACCCTGCTTAATATTAATCCAAATACGTATTTTTAAGATTTAGTCCATCCTCATTCCCTCTGTTAACCTTCTTGATTAACCCTAAATCAAGCAGTCTTTTCCTTCTCTGCTTTCCTTAGCTCTCACTACTTTGAACCCCTTCGTATCAGTTACTGTATTTATAGTTACTTCCAAGAAGAATATGAACGTTTTACAGTAGTAAAACATGTAAAGTAGGACACGGTTAGTTAAATAGATTATCTGCAACTCTAGTGAGAAATATTATGTATACACCAAAGACCTGAAATAATTTTGTTACTAGTATTTGGCTCTGAGTTTCTTCTCCTCTAAGATTAAAAAAAAAAAACATTTTGAAAGATATATTTTAATTTTCTGATGAGAGGGAGCACTGAAGTTTTTCTGGAGGGGAATATTTTTTCCTGACACTGAAGTCTAGGACAAATTAGTCATATATGTTGCTTCATGTAGGAAATATTTATTTTATTTATAAATATATATAATATATATACTTTCTATATATAGTGTATATATTTTACACCCCCCCCAACACACACACACGTGTGTATTTATGGGGGGGAGAGAAGTCCCTAGGTATGTGCAGGGATTGGTTCTGGAGTCCCCACATATACCTAAATCCATGGGTGCTCAGGTCACTTATATAAAGTGGCTTAGTACAGTCAGGCCTCCGTATCTACAGAAGAGACATTTGTGCATACAGAGGGCCAACTACGTACAAAATGTACATTTTATATATTTTATTTATATTTATGTGTAGTTTATTAAACTATGGCTTTAATAAAAGAATACAAGAACCATGGTGATTAAGTGCCTGTAGTGCTTTAGAGATCTGGATTTGAGCCCGGTACACCACGTCCTCATTCTGTAACATTAAGCACTTTGGACCATCTGAACCTCAGTTTCCTCCTCTGTAAATGTGGGATAATAACAGTACCTACCTCAGAGGATTCTTACAAGGACTGAAAAATTAATGCACAGAGGGGCTTAGCTCCATGCCCAAAATACTGAAAACCTTTGATAAATATTGGCTATAAAATGCTTATTACATAGAAGACATGGCAGTAAATTAAGTCACACAGCATTTCTGTGGTTATCAAAAGTTAGTGTCGTCTAGCTAGAGTATAGTTCTGGTGATCTTAAAGTATAGGGCTAGAACTTAAACACACGGAAGCTAAAAAAGTAACAGCCAATTAATTTCTCCCTTGGGCTCCTTCTTTCCAAAAGAGCATGTCTTAACCAAGCTTTTGATGGCTGCTGTGTTGAAGATAATTTGCTATGGAATATTCTAAAGGGTTCATTTCTTTTGAAAAATCTCCACTAGCTATCAGCTGTGCAGGTGACATATTCTTAAATACTGTTGTGTGAATTGTTAGGACTCTGGCTTATAACTCACCCTAGACTGAAAGCAAGCTCATTAAATAAGAATACAAATTTTTATTTTTCTCAAAAAGAACTTCTCATCTGTCCAAGTACTTAATAATCACTATAATTTGATTCCAGGTTTTTTGTGCTTGAAAGCACTGAATGAAGCTAATGTCTTTAGCTTACAGCGGATGCGTTACTTCAAATCTCAGCTCTGTCATTTAATAGTTGGGGGAGTCTTGGGCAAATCATATAACCTCAGTTGTGTTGACTGTAAAGATAAGGGCATGTTTCTACCTCACAGAATTATTGAGTGCATAGTGAGACAATAGTCTGGCACGTGGTAAGCACCAGGACTTTTATGTCCTACTCCTCATTCTGGTTCCCACTGCATGATGATGAGTCAAACTGCCAGCTGATGGAGTTTGAATGTTTCACTGCTTGCTTTCTCAGCTGGCTCCTGTATTACCAAGAGGACGTTTCCAATAACGAGTGTGTGTTAGAAGAAGGCCTCTATGCTGACCTTACTTCCTGTGGCTGCCCAACATCCAGAGTCAAATCCCTCAAGCCTATTGACTATGTAAGTTCCTTACTGAATGCATATTTATAAGACTTTTTCTTGTCCAGTTTAATTACCATGAATGATAATGTGAAGTTGGAAGAAATAATACAAGGGAAAATATAAAAATCTTAGTGAGTGACTTGTAGATTGTAAAATTGAGATTCACTCATGAAATCCAGCCAAAGTGTGAGATTGGTATCTTTCTTTCTTCCTTTCTTCCTTTCTTTTTTTCTTTTTCTTTTTCTTTTTCTTTTTTTAGCAGAATGCAAAATTTAGGAACTAGAGCAATTGAGGCCTGAGCTTAAATTAATACTTTAACCAGTCTGGATGACATTGGCAAAGTTACTTAGTTTTCTCATCTGTGGTAGTACTTCGTAAGGCTACTGGGACACTAAATGTGATGGTGCTTGTAAAATGCTTAGCACATGGTGAGCGCTCAGTATTAGCTATTAGTATCGTGGTTGTAAGTGTTATAGCTGCTTAAAAGAAATAATAACCTGATCATTTTCTTATTCTATTAGAGAAGTCAAATGACAACTTGTCTGCTATGTAGGCTTACAATGTTACTTTAAGGCGTGGACCACCACTGGTTTCATTTCAAACCTTGTCTTGGGGGAACTAGGGCTTTCCTGCCTGGTGTGTAGAATTGTCTGGGTCACCTGAGACGGCTACATTTATATAGAGTAAGTAGTTTCTCCTTTCTGTCATATTTACTCAGAATTTTAAATGTGAGAAAAACAGGATAGCTACTCTGGGACATTCACTCTGGGCTCTTGGTTACTGGTGTTTACGCAGAGGAAGTCGTGGGGATCTGGAATATTTTCAAGATGCCTAGTTATGATAATTCCCTAGGAGCATCTGGTCAAAGCTGAGATTTACACGATGATGACTAGAGGCCCTACATAGTGGTAGGAGGGACTCAGACCTTTCAACCAGAGCTGATGATCATACTCGGGATCTTTGATCCCAGCCTCAGCAACGTGGTCTTATTTCACAAGGCATTCCTGGAGAGAGTATTCTTGGTATCAGGCTAAGAATAGAGTCTTGGCTGAGGAGCAAGAATAAAAATAGCATCCTGGTTGTGTCTCAGTGGCCTTTAGACACCAGCTTGGAAAGACTAAATGGCTACTGATGCTTCCTGTCTATTGGAGGAAAACTGGTTAAAAACAAAATAGTAGGGGAGGGTATAGCTCAGGTGGTAGAGTGCATGCTTAGCATGCATGAGATCCTGGGTTCAGTCCCCCAGTACCACCTCTAAAAATAAGTAAATAAACTTAATTGATCCCCCACCCCCACAAAAATAGAATGTATTCTGGTCAGTCTCTCCAGGTATTGATAAGGCTGAAAAAGGCATTGGAAAGTAGTCTGCGTTTACTGAAAAAGGAATTTTCTTAGCAAACTGTAGTGGTAAAACCAGCAGATATATACTTAGATGATCCAAATTGGTGGTATTACTATTTTTCTTTGTAAAATTTTCTTACATTCATAAAGTCAGAAATGAGTAATTAAAATTAGAAGTGAAAATATATAGAGAGAAAAGAAACATCTTTACACAAGATATAACGTGCAGTTGCATGTCCCTGGTTTGGTCCTGTGGGATCCAGGCAGTGTAGGTGAAGGTGCCTCTTGGGAGGGACTTGAGAGCTACGGCCTTTTCACTCCAAGAATTGATTAAAGAGCATGTTAGTTTTCTTAATGCGTTTCCCAGGTATGTTTTAAATTTTTGAAAGGTCTTTGTTGAAGACACGTTTAGGCAGTAGGTTTGGTGTTGAAATGGAAGGGAATATGAGATGAGGTTGGGCATCCCAGCAAAGACCTGCAGGTTGACCAGGAAGCAGCCTCAACAGGTACTGTGTCCTTGGTGATGTCAACTGTACTTCATCCTGATGGCCCTGAGTTGATCAGACCTAGGAGACTGATAGGTAAGACAGAGGGCCAACCTAGTGATTTGTAGTGGGTGGATTCTGGTGACTAGAATCCTTGGGAATTCTGTCCTGGGCATTTTTGTGCCTCTCTGGAAGAACCTAGGAAACTGAATTAGTTACCAGAATGTTACTTGTTGAGCTTAAGATTTGGGTAAATGGTGGTTGTCTGGAGAGTAGCTTCCCTATTAACATTCCCCACAAAAGGGGCCCCTCCCGTTTCTCCAGGGCCCCTCGTGGCTGCATTTTCCAGATTCTGTGTCTTCTTTCTATGGAAAATTCTAGACACAGTGTACATCACCTGCTTCTCTGACTCCTTCCACAACTGTGCTCTTACTTAGGGATTGGTAGGCCTTTTTCTGTAAATTGGTTAATACTGTTGCCTATGCAGTGTGATTCTGGATTCATTCTGGGAAATGTGACATCCAGTTGAATTGACTTTACATATATATATGAGCTGATTTTTTTATTTTGCTCTTATTATTATTTGGATTCTTTTTCTTTTATTGAAGTATAATAGCTGTACAATAGTATATGAATTACAGGTGTACAATATAGTGATTCACAATTTTTAAAGGTTATGCTTCATTTATAGTGATTATAAAGTATTGGCTATATTCTCTGTGTTGTACAGTATATCCTTGTAGCTTATTTATTTTATACATAGTAGTTTATACCTCTTAATTCCCCACCCCTATCTTGCCCCTCTGCCCTCCTCTCTCCCTACTGGTAACTACTGGTTTGTTCTTGGAATCTGTGAGTCTGCTTTTGTTGTTGTTGTTATAGTAACTACTTTGTTATATTTTTTAGATTCCACATATAAGTGGTATCATACAGTATTTGTCTTTTTCTGTCTGACCTATTTCACTTAGCATAGTGCCCTCCAAGTCCATTCCTGTTGTTGCAAATGGCAAAATTTCATTATTTTTTTCAGTTTTGCTTTTATTAGTTAAAACTGCAGAATTATGAGGGTGTTACCCATAGTTGGCATTCCTAGACACCCTGTGACTTAGTGCTAAAGTGTCGTCATGGTATAATACTGAGGAGCCCTAAGACTCCATCTTCATACAAGATCAGTGAGTCTTGAATTTGACACAACATTGTAAAATGACTATAACTCAATAAAAAAAATGTTAAAAAAAAATCAGTGAGTCTTGCAAATGACAGTTTGCTCCAGGCTGATTTTTATTTGTGCAGACATGTGTTTCATTCTAGAGGTCCATGGATGCATAATTTGCAGTCATTTTATAGTGAAAGGAGCTGTGAGCATACGTTATAGTTCTGCTTTTCACTAGGGTGACCTTGTACAAATCACTTAATTTATTTTGACCTCAGTTAACTCATCTGTAAAGCAACTGCTAGAACAGGTATTTTTAAATCTTTGACAGCCTCTAGTATCCTGGGCATGTTTCTAATTGGACATGAAAAACAATATATCCAAACTTAAGACTCACATGGTCTGAGGGAATAAGATGGTATATTAGCTTTAGTAAGGTTATGCCATTATAACAGTCCCCAAAACTGTTGGTAAGGGGCTAGAGGTGGGTGGGGAACCTAAGTAAATGTTTAAAGCATTGGTCTAGTAGTTTTTGGGGTAACCTGCTTCTGTTCCATTTCCGTGGGAGCAGCAGTCTGCTCGTTCCGTCCTCAGTGTCTCCATGGTGGCTTGGCATGGAAGTTGGCCTCCTTTGAAGTATAATCCAATCCTGGCAGCTATAAGCAGGCAAAGCAAAAATAACATTATAACAAGAGGTTGAAGGAAAAGTTCACATGAAATTTATGACTGTGATGACATAAGTGATCTTAAAAGGTAAAATAAGAATTGGCAAGGCAGTAATTCATTCTGTGCAAGAGTAATGAGTAAGGGGTAAGCTATAAATAGAAGGCTCTAAATCCAGCCACAGATGAAAGGAACAAATGACTTTATAAAGTGTAGAAGAGTTCGGTTGCTATTAAATTTTCAGCTGAACTCATGTGTAGTTAATAGTAGAGACTCCGGTGTACATTTTGAACACGAAGGCCAACAGAAAGCTGCGGTAAACATCATACTTCCAAGTGAGACATCTGAAGCATTTCCTTTTAAATTCAAGCAGAAGACAAAGTTCTCAACCATCACCATTTCTATTCAGCATTAATTTGGAGTCTTAGACACTTTAATAAGATTAAAACCAAAAAAGGTTTAAAGCAAGAAACAAAGTTGTCAAGAATATCAACTGACAAGTTATTAGGACTCATATGAATTCTTTAAAAGTTGCTGGATACGAGATTAACGGTAGTTAAAATAGAGGAAATGTAGGAATAAATCTACCAAGCCAAGTAAGCCCTTTGTGAGAAAAACTGTACAAACTTCTTTAAGGACATAAAAGACGGAGAGAGATTTTTATAGATGAAAAGACTCTATTGTAAATACTGTGGTCTTCCCCAAATTAATAAAATTTCAGGCAAAATGCTTACAGAATCTTTTGTATTTTGGGGTGGTAGTGGTGGTAAAACATGACAAGCTCATTCTAAAATTAATTTGGAAAAGATGGGGGTTCAGAATAGCCAAGATTATTTTTAAGAACAATAGACAGGATCACTTGTCTTCCATTATTTCTCAGTAGTAATTAAGGCAGTGAGCGTTGGTGCAGGGAGAGACAAATAGAACAGCAGGATGGGAGAGCACAGGAACTGACCTACGTAAATAATGGAATTTGGAAGATGACAGACAGCATTTCGGTGGGGCTGTTACGAAAGACAGTTGGCCCTTCATGTGGAAAAATATACAGTTAGAATCTTGCCTTATTCCAGACACAAAGATAAGTTCCAGATGGATTAATGGCAACTTAAATGTGAAAAACCAACTCGAATGAAATGTACAGTGTGGGGAATTTAGTCAGTACTTATGAAATATCTTTGTGTGATGACACATGACAATTTATCATGGTGATTGTTTTGAAATGTGCAGAAATATTGAATCACTGTGTTGTGCACTAGGAACTCACACAGTGTTGTAGGTCAAGTACTTTACTTTAAAAACAAGCCAACAAACTCAGAAAAAGATCAGATTTGTGGTTACCAGAGGGTGTGGGGAGGGGGAACTGGATGGAAGTAGAC